GCCAATCGTCCGAACACATTTTAGTATCAAATCGAGATTTGTACAAATATCACATTGTGTAACTATTTAATATCTTCTCTTTCTTTTAACGCTCCGAGGTCCGTATTAATAGTTGTCGCTTCAAATCCGTCACATGTGAGATATTCAGATTTTAATTCGAAGTTGGATCTGAGCTTTTCAGTTGAATCGTATGATATGTTTGACATTACATCTGTAAACGCTATTCGATTGAAAAACTCACATCTAATTTAGAATTCATATCTGATCTCATTTGGATAAATTTAAAAAACTATTAATACAGGCCTTAGAAGGGTTAGCCTTAGAGCGAATATAAACGCGTCTCTCTATTTATTTATCTCTCTCTGTAACTATTTTTTTCGGAGAGATGAAACTGGGACATTTAACTCTCAGAAGAGCTAGAACTTCTTCGCTGTCGGAATTTTTGCCGCACTTTCAAGTTTAATTTATGTAACCACCCTTTTGTGCATGAATCCCGTGGTTAATTCGCGTCTGTGATATTTTTCTTGTTCTCTCTCGCGCGCGCTCCTTGATAGTTTGTGTCTCGTCTTATCATAATTTTCGCACAGCATTGTAATTCTACTTTCTATGTGATGGATATTCATTATTATGATAATTAATACTGTCTTTCTTTCTGTTTGACGCACAAGATAACTGAAGCCATCCGATTCCGAGTATCACCTTTGTAATGAGGATCATGTCTGATGGTAACGATAATAACATTAAATTCAACGTACACGTTAACGCTAAGACACATATCGATTCTCGCGGCTTCATTATTTCGGCAGCACGGAAATTATACCTCCTTCTTTTCCCTTTACAGTTAATCGAACGCAACATTTTGCGGAAAAACGCAGAGCTACGACCGAGCTTTTCTCTCTCTTGCATATTTCCCGTCCTGCTCGGTTTCGCGATCTTTTCTAATAAATCGCCGGGCCGGAAAGTGTTGCGGAAGGAAAGGGACCCTCGGCTGAATTTGACGTCGCCGCACGGAGTCTATTTTTTTCCTCGTTCCGGCCGAGAGAGAAGGCTTTGAGAGGAGCCTCGCTCGGCCGACAAGACTGGTTAGCGTCCTTCGTAACATATATTAGCGTGTAAAACGGCGTTGAGTACGCTAACTCACACCCTAGCTAGCGCGTCGCGTGCGTCCTGATTCGCTTTTTAACTCTTTACGATCCTGCGTCGGCTAGACTCAACACAATGCTTTACGATAACCCCGTGTTTTTCCACAAACAATATATCCATACGTAACGCGCGTATTATACAGCTCTTCGGAGCTTCGCGTAGCGCTCGCGAATGAGCAATTGCGAAATAACGTCGGTGACGTTGAAGTGAAAAATTCCACGGAGTGTACGACGATATCGACTCGTCCTTTAAAGATTATCGTCGACCGCGAGAAACTAGCGGCTCACGGATGACACAGTAGAACCTGATGTAGAACAATGCGTTAACAATGAGTTAACGCATGAACGCGAGCACTTCGTGTCCCGCGTGGCTCCGGTCGGTTCTTAACGATCACGATGAATAATACTCAAGACACTTGGAATTCTGATAAAATCGTTGCGGTGCGAGAGTTAAGTGCGCTACGACAATATTAATGAATCATGGCACGGCGCAACGCGTTATTAAGTAATCCGAGATCTTCATCAGCGGAACGTTTAAATTTATTAAACTTTGTAAGCTAAGCAATTATTGACCGCCCCCGGCTACGGGAGGCCGGCGGAAACAGCTGAAATAATTTTGGATTCGCGGGGCATTTCCACCAGAAAAGTTTGCAACTAGTCGGTTACGATGTTACTCGGCTTGTTTTAATCCGATCGTATTACTAAAACGATGTACTCGTAAATAATGAGTTGTCGGCTACTACTGATGCAACAGCGGTCTGAAAGTAAAAATTTTTGGCTAAAATTCAGAATCTTGATAAAAGTAATATTTATATACGACAAATATCTTTAAAGGAGAAACGTAACTTATCTCACTTTTTTTAGATAAATTTTAGATAAATACCAAATAACTTCATTTTCTTATATATAGTTTGTTTTGAAGGGTGCGTCATTTTTTCTTTTACGATATTTTTGAATAGGAAAAAAATTTATATCATTTAATGGAATATTTTCATTTTCTGATTCTTTCCGAATCTCATATAGAGTCTGACAGGACATGTTATATGGATCTAATAAAGATGAATTATTTTCAAAAGGCGCAGAAAGGCGCAAAACGAATATAACAGGTTCCGGTAATGTAATGATTGATGATTATTACACAACTATAGTTTTTCTCAGAAATTTTCCCTCTCTCTTTCAGAAACTTAAAAAATTTTTCCGAAGTATCGACAAAAAAACACTTTTCCATCGTAACGTTATGTTTATTTCAACCACAAGTCTATTTATTATCTCGTTATAAAAATAAGAACACGATATAATGTGAAATTAATTACTTTGTAGCTTGTTTTTTTTATAGCAAGTTCAAATACATATAATACTACAATTACTTAAAATAATATAACGTGTAGCATAATTATAACAGTATGACAGATGTAACTGAAGATTATTGAGTAATCGATATTTTTAACATCACATTTACTGATAAATGATAAAAGAATAATAAATAGTAACAATTTACGATTATTTGTCTACACTTAAAAAAATAGTCTTAAATCAAGATAGATATTCTTATATATGAGCAAGAATATTAGAATATTTTTAGAAGACTTTTTGTCTTGAATTGAGTTTAAGTAAATATTTGCATCAGTATAAATTGAGACTAAAAATCTTCAAGGAAGATTATAATATTCTCACTTGTATATAAGAATATCTATTCGTGATTTAAGATATTTTTTGTGTGTATAGAACATTATAAACTTACATTTATATTAGTTTGAGGTGAAACCTGAAAAAATTATTTTCGGCCAAAAAGTATGAATCTCAGACTATTGTGCGCAACAACATGCATTTAACAAACAGCAAATTTCCGATTAAACGATTCTCTTCACGGCGGTCGCAATTTTAATCGAGAATCGCGAAACGAGAGGGGCGCGACCCGACGTGTTCCGTCTCTTTCCTTCTATCGCGAGAGTTTGCGTTGGATTACACACCTCGCGAATTCGAGATCGCGCGTGTGATCTTCCTACTCGGGTGATTATTACCCCACACCTTGTGTTCGCCATCGAGAAAATATACCAATCCGAATTTCACACCGTCTTTTCCGCTCCGACCGTTTTCTCTCCCTCCTTGATTCTTGTTTTTCCTCTTTCCTTTGCGATAATCGCGCGATAGAACTCGCATAGAGATTCATCGTGCCGAAAGCACCGATTGGAAAAGCCGCTGGCGGAAAAGGCCGGTGTTCGCGGCGGAACGAACCTCCATGTTAGCGTCGGGGGGGCCAGGCCCGTCTTTACTGCGCAGTAACGCGACCGAAAAGCTTTCTACTTTTGTTAGCGACAACTACCTTGGAAATTGCGTGTTGCTTGTACCGCACGAAAACAATAAATATAGCTGCGTTCAGTTTTGCAAATCGGAAACATCGGATTGCTCTTGAGGTTATTTTCAGGTAATTCCTAGCGAATGAAACGATTTTTCTGCAGCAAACCGATTTGCAAAACCAAATGCAGCTTGTACATGAGCACGACGAGTTTTGCTGTTTCCAAGTTTTGTGTGGAACATGGTCGGCCTGACATTTTGTCCTATACAATGTAGGTTTGTTTATTTACATGTAAAATAATCTCTCGAATAAACGATCAACAAGAATATAAAAAAGCTGGCGCAGATAAAATTATGTACGACGGCTTCCAATTGTACAAATTTGGACATTATAATCGTCATATAATGTTGCAGCGATATCTCTCTCTCTCTCTCTCTTGTCGGTGGCGTATCGAGAAAATTGGGTACTCTTGCGAAGTTTTGTTACTTTATTCCGCTTTTGTTTGCCAAACTAGAGAAAATATGACTCATCGCGCTGGTCCACCCAGCCGATTCGTCTGTCCTCCCATGGTGCGCGCTTTTACGACACGATCAATCGTTGGCGATATTCTCCCCAAGTCGTTGGCGTTTCTTTCGGAGCAACTGTTACGCGACACACTTATCCTCCGACTTCCCGAGCGACATACGAAAATTTCTGTCACCGGTGCACAGTCATGTACGCGGCGAAAAATCCGAACGTCATGTATTTTGTCGTCTCTGTATATATCGTTTCATAAGTAAATAAATATTATTTTTCACTACACCAAAATTTTACCTTATTCAAAGGGGAAAAAGAGGAAAATTAGAAGACAATCTTCAAAGGTTGATAATCCTCCGGCATACAACACTTCCAGGGAAATTACAATAACGAAAATTCCTTTTTCATGCAAAATCGAGCAACGGGATGACATGTCCTTTTTCTTTCCAACATTATATCGACGATACTGGGTCAAGTCGCTTTCAATGCCCGGCCATGTACGTCCCTCGACAGTCCCTGGCGACTTTCGAGGCGGGAATTGCGAGAAGAAAATTCGTCGTTCGCCGGAGAGAAACGGCGTTCCGCGCGGCTCTCTTCGGCGTGTTTGCATCGCGACGCGAGGCGCTGACCGTCGGCCGCGAAGGACTGCACTACCGTTTGCCACATACGTTCGCAGGAGAGAATCGATAGATATTTTCCGGCGGTGCGTTTTCACGAAAAGCGGAGAACGAAGCATCCTCGTGTCGTCGTTTCGCTTTGCGTATATTTTTTCCGCGGCCACGAAAGCGCACCATTCCGCGGTCCAGTCGAGGCAAGAAATGCGTGCGCGGGGGAACGCGCGATGCACTCGCGATAGTCGCGGACGCGAAGGAACAGATATCGCCAGTAGGTCGATGAGGAAAGAGAGCAAGCGCGAAAAGGAGCGTGGCCGAGCGGAAGCTATCATTGGGGCTTTCCGATGCCGCGCGCGCGGTTCCGTCGGCTCCGAGTCAGCGAATTCGCCGCCGCTCCGATTCGGCGATGATCGACGATAATAATGTACTCACAGCATCTCGCGGGCGAAGGCGACGTCGGCGAGGCACATCGCGGCGACGGTAGCTGCGGCTCCGCGCTCCGGTTGTAACGGCACGGCAGTCACGGTCACAGTCACAGGATGCGCGGTGCAGCGAGTTCCCGACGCGAACGTTCCTCACGAAGACGACGACCGGGCACAGCACTGGAGCAACACACATCACTGTCACTGGACGCGGATGCCCGTTTTTGGCGGCGCGAGCGACGGATACGTCGTGCACACACTCTCCGGGGCGAGTCTCCGGGAGGCGCGGCGCTCTCTCTCTCTCTCTTTCTCTCGCGACGTTGCCTCGCTCGCTTGGACGCGGCTCCCCGACGCGGCACGGCCCGACGGCCGTCGACGAGAGAACCGACCGACGCGAGAAAGAGAACGAGCGAGGGGCAGAAAAAGAGAGAGAGAGAGAGAGGGAGGGAGAGAGGGGGAGGGAGGGAGAAAGAAAGACAGAAGAGAGAGAAAGAGAGAGCGGCGAGCTATGGGGAGCAAGAGAGACAAATAGAGAGGGGAGCAGGGGAGAGGTGAGTAGGTAGGTAGAGAGAGAGAGAGAGAGAGAGAGGACGATAGTAGGAGGGAGCAATAAAAGAGTACGTCCGCCGTCGACGGGTTTCCTACTTCCGCCCGTCCATTCTCCTTGCCTCGGTTTTGTTTCTCGACACGGGCACACACGGTCGATGCTGGAGGACGACGTCCCTTTCGTCGGCACTCCGCGAGCACACGGCGAGTTCCGTGGACGCGCGTGAGGACAATTCGGAGAGTTCGGCACGGCGCAGCGCGGCGCGACGGCCGAGCGGGCACCGCGAGCCGAGATGGGCGGCGGAGAGAGAGAGAGAGAGCGGCGAGCGCGCGCGCTGGCTCTCTCCTCTCGTATGCTTGACGATCGTGCGAACGGCTCCCACGAAGCGACACGATGCAACCGAGATCCCTGACTGAGCAGCCGTCGCCCGTGGAGGCTTGCCCCGCGAGACCGCAGCGCCGCCAACCGTCAGCGGTTGAGCCGACGAAAAGTTCCTGCCGTCGCCTGCGCACAGTGGTTCTCATCGCGCGTCCGAGTCTCCCCTTTTCTTTTGGATTTTCCCTCGATTTTTCTCACCTTCCGCCGTTCGACGTGACTTGTGCGTAATCTTTGAATTATGATAATCAGTGCGCGAAAAGTGAACGGATGCAACGGATATAGACGTGTTCTCGCCGGAAGACGAATTTCGACTTTCGCTCCAGACGTAATGTCACTCTGGAGTTTTGCGTTAACATTTTAGTTATTACAGTTTTTCGAAAGTGTTCAAAATGGGTCGCCTGGCCGCCCGGAAAATTCGAATCTCATTTAAATAGCGTCCGCAGCGGAGCGCATTCGATCTCGCGATAGGCCGCTCGAGCGCGAACGCTCGATCGCCATTGGTCGGCGACCGACCGATGACTCACCGCCGGTCGGGGGACAGTCGGGCACGTCGGGAATGCTTGTTGTGCGTCGTGTGTGTTTCCGCTCCGTTTCCGTGCGCGTTCCTCTCGTCGGTCGGAACGACGAGTTGCCGGTGCGCGATATATCGCGCCCGTCAGGTTACGCGCGCTAAGACGCGTCGACCTGTCCGTCCACGAGAGCGCGTCGCCGCTCGAGACGCTACTCCACGTCCCACTCGGCGAGGTTAGAGCCTGTCAGACAGCAGTCACTGCTCGTTCGCGGTCCGCGACGCATCGCCATTTCCACGCCACGACGCTCGGAGGCACGACGGAGGTTAGACTGCCGCCCGCCGGGAGCTAAGCGGACGCGCGCGACGATGTGGAGCAGCTGAGTGCGGCTCGTCGTCGACGTCGGGTACACGAGGTACGTAACATAGCCGAGAACTAACCGTCCCGTATTCTCATCCGGGTTGCCCTTTTCAGTACATATGCACGTTAGCGAGGATTCGTATATTTGCGATCTTCATCCGTGGAATCGTGTCTGAACATATGCTCATTGTGGAAGGATGTTTTTTTTTTTACGTTGCATTAAGGAGGATTGAGGTTAGCGGGCTGTTTGTGGTTCTCATCCCGGAGTCGAGTGCGTAGCTAAGTGCGCGCCGGAAGAAACTGCAATTTTACGCTACCGCTCGCGCGTTACGTTATCGTTTGTTTGGCCAAGGATTAAAGCTAATTCCTGTAAACGGGGCGCATTCGTGGTTCTCATTCGGGAATCGTGTCGTCGCGCGGGATACCGTCGTGAAAGGAACTCTGCGTTTACGTCGAGCTGTCGTGTATATTTTATTAGCAGAAATGCAGTTTAATTTCTTATCGAGCAATCTGTGATCTCTCTATTATGAAATCGCGTGCAAATGCACTCTCCTCGCGGCGAAGGATACAGCTGTTTATAGCGTTTACGTCACGCCGTTGTTCGCGAGCTAATGAAGTCCAATTTCCACAAGCGGAGTGTTCAGTATCCTCATTTTCAAATCACGTTGATGCGCGAGCGTTCTGCGAAAAAGAACACATTTCTTTCTTTTTTATCACGTCGCCTATGCGCGGTTTACCGTGTATGTTGACGCTAACGAGGATTAAGATTAATTTTCATCAGCGACGCGCCGCGTAAAAATACGCGAGCGAGGATATATCTGATATTAAGAGATATTCTCTCATTGTGTCGTCCCGGCACGTTACATCGTCATTTACATGATCAATCTCGACAAGCGCGCGAAACACTATATTCGCGATTAACGCGTTATTCGCGACGAGTTTGTTTTTTCTCGCAAAGGTGTGAATTTTCAAACCGACGATATCGAGCAGGATTCTGCGGGTGAAACGTCATTCCACGTGTACGTCGCCGCGGGCGACGACGGCTCCTCCCGCGAGAGCCACCCGCGTAGGGAATTTTCGCTTAGATTGCCGGTCTGCCACGCGAGATCGACTGGAAGGCTTGTCTACGTGTCGCGTCGCCTCGCGCTAATGGTCGTATAGCCAATTAATCCAACGGTGCTGATAGACGCTGATAGAAAAGTAACGGTGGTCGGGCGCGATCGAATTTTTCCTCCTGCGGCGGACGAGAAATTATTTCGCGCGCTCTTTCACGCGAGGGATTCAATATCGCCGTATAATTGGCGTTGATATGTCATGTTGATAAATCAGCTATAATGAAGATACGCCTCACGGAGCTGCTCCTCGCTTTTGCGTAAAAAGAAAGAAGAGAGAGGAGGATTTCTCGCTTTTGCTGCCGAGGAAAATACTGATGAATTTCATTTTTCACGCAGCGCATATCGAGCCGATCTCATATTCTCATAATTTGTGATAACGGTAAGATCGAAATATCGGAGCGATAAATACAAGTCGAGTCTCGATTGTTACATTCCTTGCCGCGTAAATCTTTGGGAGTCATTAATGCGAGTGTATAAAACAGCATCGAGACTACGACATACGATCAGTATATCCTCATCGAAATAATTATAAATAGGAGAATAACAGATTAATTTATCAGTAGTTGTAATAGACTCGCGGGTACTGAAATTACAGCATAGTTCGAAAGGTTAGAGTCGTTAGAGATGCGAAGTATTCTAATAATCCTTTAAATTCATGAATCCTTGAATTAAGCCCCCCGCATTTTTCTCTCATGGTGTTATCTGCGCGCTTTTGACCCGTGTACCTGTAAACTTCTTCGTTTACATGAACCCTCTACATGGAACAAATTCATATTAATTCGAGACTCGTGTTCTCATATGTAATATAAGCAAGAATATATAATTTTATGTAAAGATAAAATTTATTCTTACATGAAGAAATTCTCTATAATTCCACTAAAAATATGATATTTTCAGAGGAATTGAGAGGAAAAATATTGGATAGAAACATCTTTAATCTAAGAATCGTATCAGTTTGAAGATATCGTTCTTTCTATTCAACATTTTTTCCTCTTAAATCTTTAAGTTATTCTTAAATAACATAAATATATTTGTAGTGGAACTATATAACATTTCTTCATGTAAGTTTTATTTTTATATAAAATTATATATATTCTTGCTTATACATACGAGAAAATGAATCTCGAATTGATACTCATTTTTTTCTGTGTAGACTTTAAATATAATTTTTATCGATACTCTGTCAAAAGTTTTAAGTCAAAGGACTTTCAGTCAAAAATTTCATGAGAGATCGCCTTGTTTTATTTTAATATTAATTTTTTCTCTCTTTCACTCTCATAAATTCCTTGCAATCCTACGTCGATTCTATCTCGACATCGTGTTTACAACCGATCTTACAAACCAATTTCGTTGTACATCAATATTATATCCAATATATAAAAATACATCACTATGTTTTGTTTCATTAGTTAAATACTGAAATATTGAAGTAAATGCTAACAACTACACGATACTGCCGCGAAGTAATTTTTACGGATCGGCTGGAAAGAAACGTCAAAGATAACTCGAATCGCGAAAGGTCGAAGCGTACACGCTGATACCAAACGGAAATTGCCTCGAAATATGATCGATCCGTGCACGATGTATCAAGAAAATAACATATCGCGATGTCGCATCGGCTAAGGCCCGTTCTCGTTGGACGTACACTTTTTACGCTTCGTGCACTTAAAACGAAGTGCCCTCGTAACAAGCCGCTCGTGAGCGGGGGAAAAAGAATAATCGAAGTGTATAAAGAAGCGTATACACGCGACGTAAACAGCTTCGGCACGAGTGCGTAACCAACGTGCACAAGGTGATTCTTAATTGTATACAATAAGCAGAAGTGACGATGTCCTGTCGAAGGTAGTCGCGGGTCAAAAGTCTCCTCGACACAGCGGATTTCTTTGGTCAGTCATGAGAGTTTATACCGTAACTGAAGAAGTCGCTTCTTCAAGTAGCCGCTACGACAGACAGTCAACGCAACGACGAGTGAGTTTCTGCCGAGTGGAAGATTCGAGAGCGGCGTACTGAGACGACTCGCAAGGTGGTTACCCCTTTCGAAACGTCGCGTTACTACCTATTGTTATTCGTCGCCTTTCTATTTATGCGCGCAATTAACAATACCCTGCTGTATATACAGGGAGCGACGAATCTGCAGGCGAGCGTCGCGCGAACGGTACACGTGAGGACGCATCTTCGTCGTCATCATCATTCTCTTATTCATCGTCGTCGATGTCATTGTCGCTACCTTCGTGTTCGTAAACGAAACAGGACTCATCGCGCGTGCTCCGAAATGTCAGTGAACTCGAATCCAGCTGCTAAGTACACCACCCCGTCCCTCTTCCCCCTGCGCTCTCTTCCCCTCCTACGCGAGGAGGAGAACGTTCGTGCCGCTTGGTGAAAATTCTCATTAATTTGCCTAGTCGAAAAAAGAGCGGAGCAATGAATGAGAGGCGAATTGAAGAAAAGTTTGCGCGAGACTAGAAAGAGCCGAGTCCCGCGAAATGGACGATTGATTTGACGAAGTCTTCGGATGACTCTCGAGCCTCTTCGATTCGTAACGTGCCGCTCTCGTATTTTCCTTCTATACACATCTACCATGTTTATATTTATTGCAATTTGCTACAGTTTGAGTCTGTTTATTCGGAATATACAGCGTGTCTTGAAATTGAACCCTGAGAAACTTCGGGTGCTTATAAAGGACACGAAAACAAGTAATTTTTGTCTGTAAACTCATGTCTGCAAACGAGCCGTTTTGGTATTATAATGAATTGTTTACAACGTTGTTCGTTGTAAATATGAAATGTTTACATTTACATCCAGCTTTCTCATAAATAAGATGCATATCGGCCAATTTATCAAAAGAAATTTAATTTTGAGAACAAATTTTGAATGAGCAATAAAGAAATACTATGATATTGAGCTCGCGAAATATCAATATAATATCAATATAATATACTAATACTAATTTTATACTATATACAATTATATTAATTTTATACTATAAACAATTATACTAATTTTATTTGTTCGAAAATTCTCAACAATCTTCGGTTTAATAAAGCAATTTGTATTAATGTTTTTTCCCAAGAGAGTAACAAAAATCAAGATTAGGATAAAAACTGCTGATATCTCTGTTTTGAAGTAAATAATCAAGACTTTGAATACAACTGCTGTAAATAATTGACTCTAGTGCCAAAACGGATCATTAGCGGACGTAGGTTTATCGATAAAAATTACCTATTTTGGTGTCCTTTATAACCACTCGAAATTTGTCGGCTTAATTCTGCGACACCATATATATTGCAAACAATGATACCGCGAGCTCATGTTGATAATGCAAACGTGGTAACTTTGCAAAACGAATGCCTATCGATCAGTTTCAATTTCCATACTTTTTTTTTTCGGCGAAATTCAATCTCGCAAAAACAGAAGAATCGAGTTGCGTTTCGGCGGACTTTGCTGATTACTATCAAATATCCAATTAGTTAATCGAAGTTCAGTGGCGAAAAATTGAGCGAAACCTGTCCTCTTCGTATCTGAGAAACTGGAAAGCGGCGTGACGACGCGAAAAGGAACGAAAATGAAAGCTAAGCGATTCGTTGAACGAGGCCAATGTGATCGTGTCGTAAGCTTCGTCAGTAAAAGACGTATACAGGGGTCTTGAGACCCCGACCCTAATCCTTCGTCCGTCCGTTCGTTCGTTCTTCTATTGTTGGTCTTTGTGTGCCTATTTTTATCTATATTTAATATCTTAAAACAATATCCAAATCTATCTTTTTTCTTCATACGCGTTAACCCGGGAAATCATTACCCTGGAATCACAAGATAAAAATTACAGCTAATATTTACAAACGACAAATATGCAACGTGGTGATTTCTTCCGAGATTTTTTTTCTTTCATTTGCAACTTCAAATATTTATAAATTCATAAGTTTTATATTACATAAATTCTGTATTCGCGCGGAAATTCCTTCTTACATTTTATTTCATTTTCAACGGGATAAACTCGAACAAGTTGAAGAAAGGCGGAATTACACAAGTACATTTACTTTCCTGTTTTCCGCTCTTTGATCTTAGTTAGCATTTTCGTTCGTCGCCGTGTTCAGTCAACGTCATTTCTGCGATGTGTTGTATGCAATCGCAAGTAAGAGAATTCGCAGACTTCGAGAAGAGGATCGTAAGCATGAACAGCAACGAATAATGACGTATTCGTCGCGTTAGTTTAAATAAAAGTGGGTATATTCTGAGTGAACGAACAGCGAAGGTGTAATGTGAATGTGTATATTCGCGTCTAAAGGCGAAGAAATTTTCTTTGATGAATCATCTTGCAAATCAATCCGAAATGTTAGGATTCGTTATGGCGTAGGGGAGATGAGAGTGAGATGACAACTTTAAAGTTTGTCGATTTTTTTTTAATTTTAACCCTTAGCTGATACAAGTCAAAATAATAACGTACGTGCTATAGGGGATATTTTGGATCCCAGCGAGAAAAAATGTGTATAATTGTTTTATTTATCAATATTGGGTCAAGCCTCGACTAATACTAGGTGACGCCACAGAACCAAATTTGGCGCGCAGCTATGAAAAATTTGCGTTCAAAAACACTCTGGGATACTTTTAACCCCGTGTGTCAGCTAAGGGTTAATGTAGTAACGTAAAAATATCGATCGATTTTTTTTTTAATAACTAAAGCTTATCATATTATCTGTATAAATTGAAAAAATTATAAATAAACCGGCATTTTGTTTTTAATTAAAATTTTTTAGGAATATCAATTTCGTTATATTATCTCCATATGTAGGTAAGATGACGAAGATTAAAAATAAATTTTTTTTGCGTACAAAAAATAAATTTCCCATACTTTTTTATATTATTCTGTTATTATCATGTTGCAACACAATACAAATAAAAATGTTATTTATGAGCAAAAAATATGCTTTGTTGTAATATAACTTAAAGAAAATGAAATCTGGACGAAAAAATAAAAATAATATTTTATAATTATATAATTTAAATTAAAATGTATGAATTCGTAATCTTACATATGATATCATCTCATCCTATAGTCACTGTATTTATTTCAATTAAAATTATATATGTTCAATTAAAAATATATATTGCAATATAAGAAATGAAAAATAATAATATGTTATTATATACGTTTTTAAATATACTATGCAGTAGTTTTATAAAAAAAGTGAAAATATTTACTATATTATTGTGCATGGAAAAAAATGGTGTTGAATCAATAGCATTTCCAACACCTCACGTGATTGGAGTCTTCTTGATTCACTGGCGATATCATTGGAATTATTGAATCAAACATTTTAATGCGAATATTTTAATTATTGAAAGAATATATAACATAGTAGTTTTAATGATGCTTGCCATTGAATGAAGATTTATACCAATCGCGTTGCTGTTAGAAATTTTATTGATTTAACAGATTTTTTTTGCTGTGTAATTCTGTATGAAGGAATACCATAAAATTATTATATATGAGTGTATCCAAAATACATTTCTTATTATATTATCTTCTGTCGTTGACAGATTGAAGTCAAACTACAACAGATTATTTGTTATTACTAGAAGCCTCTAATGAGTTGGGCACAACTCGTTATTTATTATTAGCTTAGAAAAGTAAGCAAATTGTCATCTTAACTTCGTCACCTAACCTTCCTTTCCCCTGCATATTTTCCAAATCATAACAATGAAAATTTGCACGCGCTGTCCGTTCCCTGTTAGTTCGTTCAGCGTATATCCAGCTTAGCCCGAGAATAGTCATCTTATTTGTTTTTATGTAAACAATCACTTGCTGTGCTTATTCCGTTCCTTAAATATTTAATTTCTCATTTTTTTTTTCAAAAAGTAACTCTATATTTATAATATCCCTAAATAATAATAAATCATAGAGCGGTCTCACGTCACCCTGAAGAGGTGAACTCAAATCCTTGAATGACACAGCGATAATCCGGAAGCTAAAATAAATAAATCATAGGGCAATCGATAATATGCTAAGTTTTGTTGATAATAGCAATTTTTAATTGAGATCTAAATGATTCTAAAGGTGACTCAGGTGATTATTCCCGGATGAAGAGAATTCGCGTGCCTGGAAAAGATCCGCAAGCGTGAACAGCAACGTACAGCGACGTGTTCATCGCGTCAGTTGTACACGTCCGTACGATTTCACGGCCTAATATTGACGCGCGCGTGCGATCGCGTCGCCGTCAATCCGCCGGCTGTTTTCCCGATCGGGAATATTAGAGCGCGTTCGTGCGAGCGTTAGACGTCCGTCAAAAGTAACACCCGTCACAACATCCGTTACGCCGACGCTCGTATATGACTTCCTCCGAGCGACGTTACGCGTGTGACGTTTGCACCGGCGGCGGTTACGCAACAACGGCCATTGTGACGTCCGTCGCAACGTCCGATGTGAGCGCGGTTTAAACGCAGACACTTCTCGCTGCCGGCAGGGATGAGCGGTTCGCGACTTGGCAGAGGCCGCGGCGCCCGCCTGGCTATTTACGCGGGCTGCGGGGTGCTGGCCTTCTTCCTGGTGTTCCTCTACCGCGCCGCCAACTCCGAGATGACCAGGCTCCGGGAACTCCACCTCAAGTGCGCGCAGCAGCAAGAGGCGCTCGCCGCTCAGCTTCAAGGTAAGATGTCTCCCCGTGACGACGGGTCAAATTCGTAAATTACTAATGTTCCACTTAAGCTGACAAATCGCGCGGCACGTGTCGCTTTAGCGCTGTCAAATATTAAAACTGCGGAGGGGTTCATCGCAAATGGTGGAGGCGCGGTAACTTGAGAGATTCCGGGCATGGGTAACGATTCTCCCTCCCGTTCCCGTGTCAAATCCCGAGATCGCGGATCTTTGATGATCTGATCTGTCCGAACGCGCGATGCATTCGCGGACGTCTCATTTACGCACAGAAAAGTATCGTTCTGCTAAAAAAAGCGATTGCTCAGTTTATTTTTCTCCTTTTGAATGATGAATGATTATCTTCAACGAAGAATATTTTCTTGATAATAGCCTTGAAATATGCTTGTCAGAAATTTGAGAAAAGATCGTTATCACGTACTAAAAAGAAATTTAATCTTTTCACAAGAATATTATAAAACTTGGTCGCAGAAATGTTGGATTCGGTTAATTTAAATAAACAATACGATTTTTGTTTTACCAGTGTGATGAAATCGAAACTCACAATAATATGTGTTCTAGGGGTTAATTTAAGGGTAAATTTTGGGATTAATTTAAGGGTTGTCTTGTGTATTCGTCGCAGTTATTTTGTTTGTGATGTCGAAAGTGAGAGAATCCATGCAGAATTCTTGCGGTATACGTTAAATTAAAAAATATATCCACAAAATAATATTTATGATCGATTCAGCATATTTATAAAGTACTCCAAACACTTTCAAGAGCAAAAGTGTTTGAAGTATTTTACAAATGTGCTAAATTGATCACAAATTTAATTTTATAAATATATTTTTTTATTACGTTTCCTCGTTTCTCACCTCATCAAACAAGACGACTGCAGTGAGGGACCAGAAACCTTAATATTTTTTATTGAAATACTAAATTTATTAAGATTTAGAATATATTTTGAGTAACTTTGATGAACTTGTGACATATTTGCGGATACATAAACTTATGAAATATTTGAGATAAGTAACATTTACTTATATGCAGTATATATTTTTCTGTGCGTAGACACTTCTCGGTTTGACGAAATAACGGACACATGTTGTCGTGTTTTCAGTTATATTCGAATACAAAGCTCGATTGGAGAAGTCACTGGCCGAGGAGAAGAGCTCGAACGCAGCAGTGAAACAAGAACTGCAGCAACGCGCGTCGAGGGAGAAATCGCTGCGCGACAAAGACAGCGTTGAGGCGATGCAGAGGTTCAATTCGCTCCAGCAGACTTACAAGCTTCTGCAAACGGAGCATCAGGATCTGCAAGAGGAGTGTAAGAAGCGTGAGAAGCAGGCGCTGGACCAGACCAGCGGGCTGGAATCGACGCTGCAAGATCTTCGCGGTCGCATCCGGCAGGCGCAGGAAGAGAAAACAAAATCTATGGAGAACTTCAAGACTAAGTACATGAATTTGCAAATGAATATGAACAGACTCCAGGAAAAGTACAACGAACAGATGAACGTGAAGGGCGAAACCGAAAATACCATCATGCACCTGCAAAAAGAGGTGTCTCAGCTCAAGCGCGAGCTTGAGAAGGCCAAGGTACGCGTGTTCTAAGAATGTCTTGGTAGAATTAGCCATGTTAACGATTAAATTATACATAAACTCAACTAAATTTTCAAATATTTTCCAAATATAAATAAATTAATAAATAAATAAAGCATTAATACATATTTTTATACTAATTAATATTTATAACATTTATATTTATATTAAGGATTTTGTATTAATTAATACTTTACCGACCGCTAGCCTATTAATCAGCTTTTTGTCGCCAACGCCTACCGACCGATAGCCTATTAATCGGCTTTTTGTCGCCAACGCTTACCGACCGATAGCCTATTAATCGGTTTTCATGGTGATAAACAGTATCATTATATAAACAGTCGTTTGTTATTTAGTATTGAAGTAAAACTAGTTGCGTTGCTCTGTAAGCTCCCACAGTTTTATATTATTTTGAAAAACTTACCGTTCGCGATGAACGAAAAAAATAGTATTGGAGAGTTTTATTTAGATGATCTATCGGATTGTCCTGACAGTTATTCAGGAAGTGATAGTGATGATGAAAGTGATGGCAGCGATATAATAATTCGAAAGCGAGGTTCTGTATTGCCACTAAGATATAGTGATTCAGAAGACGATGAGACAAGTAACGTCGAAGGCGATGCAAATAACGTTAAAGATAACGATGACATATGGTCGACGAACGACGAAACAATAATTTTGGAACCGTTGTAATAGATAAAACAAATATAATTTGGCATTAATATCATCAAAATAAAAGAAGTTATTAAATCTAATTATCCTATAATAACAGAAAGCGGGCAATTTTATCTGAGCATACGAAAAGTACAGATACTCCCGCGCGACAGTCTAAACCGAAACAGAGCCGGCGCCAGGGAAGATCTGCGGCCGGTCGGACGTGCGTATGTTGTTGAACCGTTAGCGGTCGGTAAAGTGTTAATAAATGTATTTTTTTCAAGCTTATCCGAAATATTCCGATAAAGATAAAAATCAAGATCATCAATGAAAAAAATGCGTAAAGCCTGTATTAGAGATTAAAATTCGATGAATCTCAACTAACTTCGATCGTGGCTCTTTTTATGTCGATTGCTCAAGTTCCAATTTTCAATCCTTAAACGGGCTCTGCAATGCGCGGTCGCAGAGTCGTGTAGTCGCAGTCGTTCGGTTCACTTTCAATTCGAGCGACCGCCAGTCACTGGAATTGAAAGTGGACCGAACGACTGGACCCCATCTTGATCCTCGATTTACAGTACCTCACTTGATACGAGTTTAACAGTGTCTTGAATGTTATCGTATTTTCCTCAGAATTTCTACGTAAGGAGCACATCTCCGGGCCCGAGTCTGGTGAGTCCATCGGCGTTGCAGAAGGAAGGCTCGCAGCCGATCCCGGCGCCGCAGCAGCAACAACCACAACAGGTAAGTTCGCCGCAGCCTCTACACGCGCCTCGCGACAATCGCGCGGACGGAGCAACTCATTCAGAGGAAAAGTTAAACGACGACGCCAACGAGCCGGCCGGCGACATTAGGTTCGTTCGGAGGCACGATAACATCGTTCCGGCCGGTGCGAGCGACCTGAAAGAGCTCGGCGACGACCAGCCTCCGCACTCGGCTAACGACCTTCAGCAGAGGCAACAAAAAAATGTTGTCGAGCGGCCGGACGTGGCAGAGAAGGTAGCTCCGGCCGACGGCGGGAACGACGAGGAGCAACATAAGCAGGTAATACCGCCGCCGAATCGAGACGACGGTCCGGGAAATAACGAGATTCCGGTGGCGCAAGCCGAGATGTCGCTGGTAGGGTCTCTCGTCGAGAAAACGTCCAGAGCGGCCGCGTTCGATCGACCGTCGTCGGCCGCCGGTGTCGAGGCGCGCGCGGAGGATGACGAGCTGCAAGCTCTGCAGGAGAGGGTGGGTGGAATCCTCAGCCATAACATGTAGTGACGGGTCGCCGAATTCGTTTCACTCGTTATTACTCTCATTTACCGGGCTGGGTTATTTTCAACGTGTCAGAGAAAATGCGCCGTACGACCGAATTCTTTGGAACCTAATCCGCAATGGATTGCGCTCAGGTAGAAGATCCTTTCGTTCTCGCGCGGTGTACACACATGTACACACATGCCGTCTGTCTCTCTCTCTCTCTCTCTCTCTCTTTCGCTCCCTCTCTTTCCGGCACCACTAGTATCAGAATTTATATTGAACATGACTAGGGTTACCAACCATACTCTTTTAAGAATACATGTACCCTCTTTGAAGAAACCCTCTTACTTTTTATATATCGAAGCCAAACATAGGGATGTTGTGATACTATAATACTGATATCGAGATTTTTCTTTCAATGTCTTTCAATATATTTTTTTATCGATATTTCCTTTTGATACTCGTACTCATATCGTTACTGCTTTGTTGCGATATCTTTTTTTTTATTTTTATTCAGTCGATCTTCAAGATATCTTCAAGATATCATTTTTATTTATCATATCAAATATTTTTGCTTCATGAAAATTAGTGTAACATGTAATTTATCTTTTTTAAACCTATCTTTTTTTACGATTTCTGTCACATTAATTTTACGGTTATTTATTGATTACTGAAGTAAACTAAAAGCATCCGGACATTTTTATAAGTGTGCGAAATCTGATATCATCAAACAAGGATAGTTATAGCGAAGACATTGAAGCCTTAATACATCCTTCTTAAGGTTTTTAGATTACAAACTGTAGAAAATCTAGTGCAGATAGTAGAAGTATTTCTATATTATAGTTACATTATTATGTGTAAACGTATGAGATTCTTATATAAAAGTAGCTTGCAAGAACAAAGTCTCTTTGATTTTTATATTTTTTTAATTTTAAGTTTTTTTTAAAGTTTCGTTACCAGTATTTGATATCGATATTTTTCTTCTACTAATACTAATATTATTAATGATATCGATTAAATATCCGTTTCAATATTAGTATCGTATATTAGTATAATATAGACATTTTTATGATATCACAACATTCTTAGTTAAATATACTATTTTTCAATGCATTTCAGAAAGCAGATTATGGTCCAATGGAAGATTCGTTTCTGAAAAATAAGTTCTTCCATTGGATCATAATCTCATTCATGATCTCTTAAACGCAGCATCGGTTGCGCTCCCAAGTGCATTGAGGAAAAAGTGTTCAAACCACAGATATCTACAGGAAACTCCAATAATTTTTACCAGTAATAGTGCATATTATATGCTTTCACCATGTATGTTGCATTTAATATGACTGAGTTACCAGTTATTTTTTAAACCAATAGTCGTAATACAAAAATACGTAGATACGAAGTTTCTGAGCCGAAATATCCTAAATGAGAATGGAAAGCATTGTTGAAATCATGTATAAATGTCTGTATTTGGAATTCAGCTCATAACGTGTGTGATTGCAAATTTCTATGACCCTAAATTTTAGTAAGTGTCTCTAAATCTAGGGATTGTGTATTCTTTTCTTATGGTCCAGGAATGGTAGCTCTAATCGTGTAATGTACAAATAAACGATATACGTTTTCGATTCGTATGTAGATTTGTACGTGCGTATGAAAAGTGAAATTACTTAATCGCGCGTACTGTCATTACCACTTTCTTCCGAGTGTTCCTTTAAATTAGGGTTCTGCTCATAAGTCGGAGCAGGTCTTGTGTGCGAAGAAGAGGTCGTTTTGGTTGTGGTGATTGCGTGATTTTTCGGGAAACACAGTTCAACGTGCCGATTAACGAGCGCGATGCGCGGCGAACATGTATTACCCGGCTATCTCGAGAAATTGCTCTATTTGTGATGTACTTTTCTAACGCGTTTTCGTGACGTATATGATAATATTACTCATTATTAATAGCGTTATTAACATTTACTATGTGTTTTATCTGTTATATTTAATATATATATATATAATATATATATAATATATATATATAATATATATATATATATATATATATATATATTTCTAGCGCGTATTATATATGATCGACCTCGTAAAAATGGGAGCTATCAATGTTATGAGTAATATCGCTTGCAGTTATTCAGCCGGCGATCTAAATCTTGTTCCTTTCAATGGTTTTGCGGGTACTATAAATCTCTCGTAGACATCGGAGAGACACACGAAAGCTGTCCTAATCTTTACGATATATTTTTTAAGCGCCTCTTAGATATGTTTTTCGGCCGTCGTGTTTGTGCCACTTTTGTAGACACTCTGCCCTACCTCGACTTGCAAAAACAGTTCGCGAACAAACGCCGTCGAATGAGGATGTAGACGCTCTCTGTTCGTGTAACCTTTCCGATCTTTTGCCCTCTTTACAAGGCATGCTTTTGTCACTTTGGAAACAAGACGATTCATGTATATGTATAATATTGGCTCGTGAGCCGTCCTAAATGTGCCTGTACATCTGTGTTTCACGATGCATTAATAAATTGTTATTATGTTTATTCGCTTGTGCATTTTTATTGGCTACCTCGTTCAACCTAACTTACTCTATTAGCAGCTTTCGCACTTTTTAACATATCACAGACCGCCGATTAATTCTGCGGAGCCGAGGATAGTTAACTTTCGCCAGGCTGAAGAGTCTAGTCGAGAATCTAACCAGTTGCGATCGTGACAAGCTTGTCTTCTATTCACGTAGTGCCGTAGTATAGTAGCTCTTCTTCCATTGCACTCTGGAATTGCGCGCTGAATAACGCAGCTTCGAGCGAGAATGATCGTGTGCCGCACTCACAGCTTCCTCCGTTCAGCATCGTTATCTGGGACGTTTGTTTTCCAGGACGTGAATAAGTATTTCCCGGAACGAACTAATTTCCATGCGTCACGTTTGAGAGTATAATGCGCTGTGGAAAATTTATATGGAAAGACCGCGCGAAAAATCTACCGACGCAAAACCGTCGAAATAAATCGCGTCGAACTAACGAAGAGATATTGGAAATAATGCAATTTCCTTAGCGAGCTTATTTACATCTCATGCGATGCAAAGTAGCAAAAAATTCAGAATCAAATCTGAATTTATTCGATAATACGTTATGTACCTTTTTTCGAAAAATGTCAACGCACGGTATCATGCTCGTAACGTGTGAAATACATGATAAAGGAAGCGTTATGATTTAAATCGGGTTGGCTGGAAAGCCATATGCATTCAAATAAGGTTCAATTATTCCGATATTTACAATGAGAACGAAGTAAAATTTCGGATGATTAGTTACTGATCGGTTAATCGAATCGGAAAAAAAGTGTAAAAATGGCAAAAATATTTAAAAATCTCGAAACGTTATTCGTTCTGTAATCCATAAATATTTTTGTCGCTATTTGCGTCACTTTTTTTTGCGACTCGTTATGCAAAATAAAACATTCGTACGTGACAAAAATAACTAAACTAAAGATTATTGGCCATGTAACTTTTATTTTTTCTTTTTGTCACAAAGCTTTTGTGTCCTCGTTTCGGCTGTCCTTGTTTGATGATGTCAGAAGTGAGAAATCGCGTGCGAAAATATATTACGGTATACATGGAGATAAAAGAATATATGTATATATATGCAAAATGGCGCTCGTGATCGATTCAGCATACTTGAAAAAATATAATAATAAATAATAAATACGTTTTTTTTTAATCTAAACATCCAATAAATAACATAAAATTAACATATAATAGAAATCACGAGAAAAGATGAGTTAAAAACGTATGTTGCTTGTTACGTTATTAATTAATTTTCAGCTATTTACTGATTATTGAGAAAAAAAAGCTTCCAGATATTTTTGCAAGTGTATCGAATCGATCACGAGTGTCATTTTGTTTATATATTCTTTTATCTCCACATACACCGTAATATATTTTGAGCTATGATTTTTTGCTTTTGACGTCATCAAAGGAGAACAGCCATAGCGAGAACCGAGGAGCCTCGATTCGTCACACTTTAATTACGTAAGATACATTTCGGCGGTTTTTTCATCAAATCAAAGCCGAGGAGACGACCGTCCGAAACATCGAGAACGTTTGCGTTGCAACTGTCAGCGCATCGGCTGCCGTTAAACGGCCGAATCGCGTGCCGAATCGCGTGTGATCGTGAAAAACGTTTTCTTTTCTGTTTTCAGAGCGCGGCACACGACGTTGTGAGTTCGCGACGAGCGGATAATTCTTCCACCGTGGCAAGCGCGAACAATGGTAACTTAATGTCGCCGTCTTTAGATAAGGCGCCATCGCCGCACAGACCGAAGGTCAAACTGCCGATCGGCGTACTGCCAATCCCGGAAATCCGAGAGGACGATAAGAAATCGGAGGAGAAGCGTCCTGAGGAGATCCGAAAGCGGGAAGACGCCGCTCACAATTCACCGCCGAAATTTGTACCACCAGCGAACCACCCGGACAGCAAGGAGAAAGAGGCAGTCGTTGAGGCTGGCAATCTGGATCCACCGTTCGTCGCGAACCTTCCTGCTCGACACATTGGCGATCAGATCGAGAGGAGAGTGAACGACGGCTGGTTCAAGGTCGGCCCCGGAGTGCAGGAAGTCGGCGAGGAGCCGAATCGAGTGCCTGGGTGAGCACGTCGTTCTTCTCTTCTGCGATACGTTTTAGCAAATAAATCAATAATCTTTAATGTTCACAATATATTAGATGTGAAAATTAATTTGTTATCAAAATATTCATGATTTATTTACCAATGGGAGGAATATAATTATCGAAGTAATTTTCGTTATTACTAATGACTTTACACCGTCCATTGAGCAGCTATTGAATTCCATCGCGAGAGAAACTCAGTAGTTTTGAATTAATAAAGTCATCGATAGGTTTTCGAACATCCTCTATTGTTTTAACGAGGTTTAAGCGTTTGACAAAATATAAGAAAAACCTGTATATGTATAGATGACGTAAAAGTTAATCGAACTAATAATACGTAATAGAAATTTCAATTATCATTACCGTATCGTTTTCGAGATTTAATAAACTTGAAGTTTAATTATAAATTAATGTGTGTGCAAACATAGATATCTTATAATATACTACATTTCTTCTAATTTGACATATTTGTGTACGAGTATAAGATGGAAATTTACAAATACTGTTATAATATTAAAAATTAATATACAAATATCATAGATTCCAGAATGTGAAATTTTAAAATTATTGACAGTTTCGTTTCGAAAATATAGTGAAAAATTTATAGTGATAGGTATATNTGTGTGTGTGTGTGTGTGTGTGTGTGTGTGTGTGTGTGTGTGTGTGTGTGTGTGTGTGTGTGTGTGTGCGTGTGTGCGTGCGTGTGTCTGTGTGTGTAAGTACATATTTAAACATTTATATATTTCTTTTTATCATCTGTGCATCTTTATTAAATTAACTGGTGTATAAATATAACATTAATAAGAAAAATAAAAAATAATATTTTTGTATTTGTAATATTGTGTACATATATTTACTTCAGTTTCGTTTTAAATTAACATTTATTATTTAATTACTAAAATAAATAAATACAAAAATTTGCTTACTGTTTGCTTTATATTAAAATAGAAATGAAATTTTGCTTGATAAATCATAAATTTATGAGAGGTCCCCTTGATGCTTCAATGGAAATACAGTATTTAATACTAGAACCTCTTTAAAATGTGTATCAATTAGTGTTGCTTCGACCGAAACAGGTAAAAATCTGAAGGGGCGCAAGATCTGAAGAATAAGCCGGGTGCTGTACAACTTTCCAGCCTGTATTAAAAACGGCGTTTTGTTCCTTTTGTCATGCGAAGTCGAGCGTGTCGTGCAGCACATAAGCTTTCTCGAGACCTCAGAGATTATTTTTTACAAGTTATATCACTCACTGTATCCTCGCCAAGAGCTGAACAAATCATATTTGTGGCTTCAGCAATATTTTCTGGCAGTTGAAATGTGGTACCGAATATGAGCTTTATCGATAGCAATACTGTTCGTTATTATTTTTTGAGATTATATCGATCATTCTGCGATGTTACGTGATGTTTTATATATATAGATGGCAGTTCTTTAAAACCATAGTTCTGTGGAAAAATACTTAGATCTAAAATGCTAAAATAGAATAGATCGAATATTCTAATCTAATATTAGATAGATCTAATATAAGAAATGGGTAAAACTAAAGACACCAAATTAATTTATATTTAATTACCTAATTAATTACTTAATATTATTTCAGTTATTATAGTGACATACTACACAATCACAATCGTTAGAAAATACCAAGATTACACAAACACATGCGCGCGCGTGAAGTTATTCTGTATATAGAAATATGTAAACAAATTATATAAAATAACTTTACAAATAGTTAGATAAGTAAATGCTATTTACGACGTAATTTTAATTGTAATGTTTTAAAACACATTTTTGTACCGATAATTGCGTTATCACGTGATTTTCTGATTCTAGATTGGACGACGGACAGGCTAACGGCGGCGACGACCAATACGATGGCGTCGAATACGACAAGGAACCGCAAAAGAACGATATTCGATTGGCGGAGGGCGAGGACGAAGGGGAAGGTAATTTGAGATTGACCAGATAGTCCGGTCTTGCGACTCGATCATGAAATCATTCTCGCATCTGAATTTTAGATGAGGGCGACATGTTTGAGTATCCGCATAATCTGAACCAAGGAAAGCGAGAATAAAATCAGCGCCGCGCTGACCTTTTTGTCCGCGACTGACCGGATGGCACGAGTGGGGGTCGGCTGAAAAATAGAACGATCAGACCTGACCGATGTCACAGCGATCGGAATCGCGCTCAGGTTCAGCCGATAGCGGAGAATAGTCACCAGGTGTCATAAGTAACACAAATCATTCGATACTATTGCGCGGGGAGCGTGCGAGAATTAGCCGAGCACGCACGAACGAACTTTTTGGCGGTGCGAATAATCCGCGCATTTGACTTACGGTGGACCAGTCCGGTGAGAGGATCCGCTCGTGCGCGTCCAGCTGATCGATCGATCCACTTCTCGCACGTGATTCTAGCTAATTTTATGTACGATAGTATGTATACACGGTACAAATGTCGTCAACCGCAGCGAGGCGACCGATGAAGAAGACGGTAACGTCGCGTGGAAGTGCGGCGCGCGCGACGAAAGAAAATGAAAAGACACAGACTGTATTTTTATAGATTAAGATCTACAATGCACGAGAGACGTCAAGGGTGACTTAATTGCACGTATTACTTAAGACACTCGTGACATTGTTGACTAGTACAAGTGCGATAGCTTGGGCTTACATTGCATCAGTAGGACTAACTGCGCCTAACGATACTGAAGTTTCAATTTCTTTCAAACTCACCAGATCTTATTTTTCATTCTCGAGCAAATTTCCCGGGAAAAAATGATTATATGTGATTATATATAATTATATATGAATGATTATATATAATTATATAAAATCATATATGAATTTTGCCCATATATGTGGTGATCATATATGATCGTATATGTCTATACGAAAAGAAATGATGTTGTGTCATTTAATTAAATGTCGATATCATATGCTGTAAGAAGCACAAGAAGCATTTATTTCGATTGTATTTGCGTATAATTTATAAGTATAATATTTTTTAATAATAATAATAATAATATTTTTTCGTTGTGGACATGTATGATTATATATAGTCATACGTAGGCAAATTTCATGATTTCTTTTCCCGGATTCCGTCGCCATTGTTTCTCCACACAGCTCCGTACGTTTTCTATACGTGAACCTTGCTCTCCCTTGGAAAACATTCTTGTAAATATTTTTCATCTCGCCTCTTCGTTCTGTAATACGTTTTATTCTTTGGCTTCAACTCTGTTGAATAAAACGAACGGTATCTCTTGGATTCCGCAACTTTTGGCTTCATTTCCCTCGATGGAACTCTGAGATTTCTGCACAGCGAGATGTGAGATCTGTAACTTTCCAGCTGAAGTGGATTGCACTTTTTGCTTTTAGAGTGGAACAAAAGTATATAATCTAACGTTGAAGAGAGAGAGAGAGAGAGATCGAAGGAACGAAGTTCCAGCGCAGCACCAGTTCAGCTGAAAAGAATCTCTTAAATCTGTTCAGTCAGCTGTCTCGAGATTTCAGGCATCAAAGAAGATCCCAAATGGACTAAAACGCATTACGGATTTTTATTGCACTACCCGATATTTATTTACGCGAAGTCGCTGTACTTCCGCGCATTTCCGAAGATGTACCCGCGAGTATACATTTTTACACACGGATTCACGCACAGAAATACTTAAATGTCGCGCGTGAGTCTGTGTAAGAATGATCGGGGGAGTATCTTTCTCCAACTTTCTTTCCACATTGGAACAAACTTTACGATGGTACAAAAGAGCTCCGCGTGATTGTCCACAAGACGCAAATATCCCGGCAAATGTTGCGATCTTGGCAAATGCATGCGGTGCCGAGTTATCCCTATCGATGCTGTCTAAATCTTGCGGTATCGTTATCACGGCGACAATGGCACATCAACGACGTGCGATTCGACCTCGTTCATCGACCTCGTTAGTGCTCTCACGTTAATTGCATCATTAACGATCCTCTCAATTGTGTGGTTCGTTTCTCTTTCTCTCCTTTTACCGATGTTCGTTGTCGCTGACGATCGTAGATTAAATACATCTATTTTTAACGAGCTGGTTCAAGCTAATTGACATTTGCCGAAGGGGCGCGGCGAGATTGGCCAATACAGCGGATCGCGTTACAAAAAAGTAACGATCGGCGTGGGAGAACACGTTTACGACCTCTTATTGATTTCATTCTTGCCGAGAACTTTAAGTAATTACGACTTAACTGGTAAAAGGAATTACATTAAGAAGTTTATTACGAGCGTAGAGTGTAATATTTTGTTATAGTCCTAGATCTTAATTATATACACATATTATATATAACGGAGAGAGACGATGCAAATGTACATAACGTTCCTTTCGTAATAAAAGCGACTGAAAAAAAAATCTGACCTTGCCCGCCTGGACTTTCCATCCGTCCGAGAAACTTCCTTAATTTAGAAATTCCCCGTGAAACTTTCCTCTCTCGGGATATTTCGGTCCGAATCGTCTAGCCACGTCTGCTTCGAGCAAGCGTTCGCTCAAGCGTTATCAACATGCTCTGGATAACTGCAGATTTATGTATCTATTAATGCCTGCGACACAATTGCGTACATGTCGACGGAGTCTGTTGTTTTGTGTCTTGTGCGAAATTGTCTTCCGATTGGAGAAACTGCTAAGAGACAAAGACACGCGTCTCTCTGAAGGAACGTTATTCAGTCTGCTTCTTAACGACGCGATTATTCCTTACCGACAAGATGCGTTTTCAGATATGTTACGCGTGATAAGGCTCTTAATTACCTTCCCGGAAGAAGTATCTGGAAAATACCTCGCGTGGACGAGCTGAGACGAATTGAAAGGCGAATCAATGCGTGTCCTTGGTGTCGATCCATAATTATAAAAGTGCAGAGAACGGGTAAGTGAATGAAGATTGCTAATTTGCCTTTCGGCCTTCCGTCTTATTATCTCTCGGAGAAAGTGGTTTAACGTAACTATCGAAAAGTATAGTGTTATAATGTCATATTACATGTTGTTCGTCAGGCTGTTCTGACTCATGAGAGTGTTACGTAAGGTGATACCAATGTCTCGGGTATCCTTCGATTTCTAGAACCGATGCAAGTGTCGATATACGGAGCGTCTCGCTTCCTCCTCTTAAACGATTCGCCAAGTAACGTCGTCTTTGCGGTTGGAAAAGTCTTCGGTGGAACATCGCGAACGCTGAGCACATCAGGAATTGTCTCTAGTGAAAGAACTAGGTCAGTCAAAAAGTTTGGCTCGATCTTCCGTCTTCTCCAAACCCTTTATATTCTTACCACGACGCGAATGCCGTCGGAAAGCAGGGGTAAAAATCATACGAATGACACTCGGATGATGAATTTCTCTCTCTGTTCTACGAATGCAATAAAGTCAGATCCGACGTAAGCATCGAAGCTTCCTCGCCGACTCGATATTTCGAAACTCGAGATGCTCGCGATATCTTTCTGTTATTTATCGACCTCTTTGTGTGAGGAAGCGCTACTTTGGAAATTCTGCCCCTCGAGATCTCACGACGGTATAGAGGCCAACGTAGATTGCTTTCAAGTCTCGTCGTGACTTTTTATCGCTCGCTTTTTGTCAATGTGGAAAACATCTTTTCGCCGCGCTCGTGTAATCGTGCATCGTACTTACCGCTGTCTTCAGAAGGTCGGTCGTGTTGAAAATACGTTACTCACGCGGGTCACGAGGGGTGACGCCTTATTTATTTTAACCTTTCACCCGAGTTATCACCGTAGACCTGATTCCTACTGAACCAAGCCGTTCGACCCTGCTTCTGATAGAGAGAGAGAAAGAAAGAGAGAAAGTGCAGAATCAAGAACGCAAACACACTCCAGATTCGCTCGTACGCGATCGCACGTTTTAATCTTTTTTAACGCGATGATTCCTCTTGGCTATCAAATGGTAATCTTCTCTCTGTTTCTCTAACTCTCTTTCTTTCTTCCTTTCAGCTAGAATCCGCGCTGCTCGACGAATCCAGCGAATATCTGGCGAAAAATTGCACGGACGTTTTTTAATCCTCTCGCAGCCAGTCTATTGAAAAAGCATCGATCCGAAACACTTTATTGGATCACGTACGTCCCGGAAAAATTTTGAGAACCATCGATATCCGCGGTTTTCTATCCGAGGTTTCATGATTTTATTATCGAGAAATATATATGTATACTATAATTTTAGCTCGTGATATTGACAAAATAGTTCATTAATTGTGTCTTTTTAGGAGAATAGAATAAGATATACATTATCAAATATCGTGTCTCCTATTGTTATCTAACAGACGGTTACGTCGTAATGCTCGAAAAAGGTGTTCACGTCATCGCTTGTATGTATGAGCACACCGAACAATCGCGTCCAATTATCCTGTTGTGCACCTCTTCGCGAAGATTAGAAGAGCTCATGTACCAGCGACCTTCGCGCAAGGATGCGTGAGTCACTTTTCTGTGAATAATAAATGAATTAAGAGTAGATTAACAGGTAAAACTCTTGCATCGTACAGTTATAAATCAATCATACTCGAGAGGCAGAGGAGTTACGATGATAAAATATAGAAGAACTAAAAAATACGAAGGAGAAATTAAATGCACGAGAAAAAATTAAAATAAATCACGAAGATAGAACATTCGTTTTGCGCGAGACAAATTCTCTCGATACTTTTTTCTGCGCGCGGCACACCTATATTCCCAGTCTGTGATTTTAGCTAATCGCGATAGTCTCGTTTTCACTCGACCGTGTTTGGTATGCAACGTTAACATCATTTGCAAATCAAAAGATACTGTCAATGTAAACGTGCAAGTTTTATCCTCGAGTCGCGCCTCGGAATAAATTCGGGAAACCACCATGGCTGCTCGTTTTTGCATGCGTCAGTGGTCGATCCTTTGAAGCTTACAGGGATAAACTCTCACCTTGAAATTCAATATTTTTCGGAAGAGAGATTTACGGGTCCCAAGTGGGATTTCCTGCGGCATGCGTTATACAACTGACGCGTGTTAACGAAAACGAGAAAGTGAAAAAATAAATATAAATCACAATAATTATAAAAAATATATCGCGAATTATAAGTATATTATAAATATACACGGATAATATATATGTATGGATAATATGTGCATAATATAAAAAACATTTTGTACTTGTGCTAAAATCGGAATTCGTTAAAGTTTTTGTGTTACATTTTTTGACATACTCATAAGTTAATTTAACTTATTTTGTTTATGTTATTTCAATATATATATATATATACTTCAGTCGATATTCAACATTTGTAAATGTTAAAATAGCACATTTTATATTTTAGTATCGACCAACATATCATGAATATTAATTTTGTACATAATATTTGTGTTACTTTTCAACATATTCATCTTATGTTAAATTTAATTTAAAAATTAACAAATAAATTAAATTAATTAAAATAAATTAACACAAAAATTTGTGTGGATTGTTTGGTACAATCGTGAAATGCGTTAAATTTAACACAAAATTTTTTATTGCGTAAGAATCGTCAATATAATAAAAAATGATAATTATTAAGGTTTCATATTCTTCTCATCGAGCATATTAAAAACAAATTTGATAAATGAGCGTGTTTTTGAAAAAATTAGAAGTAGGCCCAGATCGTTTTCCTGGCATTTACTGAGAATATGGTAATCGCTAATTACACGAATAGTAGTATCGATACGACACGTAAGCTAGTGTAAAGTGTTGCTTTCATGATGATAATTTTCGCAACCTCCGACCTTGGCTGCTCTAGTCTGCGTGAGTTACGAACGTTCATATGACGAATTCATGACCGAGCACCTCGGCTGTGTGTACCAACACGAAGACGAAACTCACTTATGAGCGATCACGGGACTGACGTAATATCGGCCCCACTACACGAAGATCGGATCGAGGTTTCAAAGTCCTTAACAAGGAGCAACGGCGCGTCAGTACGCTCCGGTCGTTACTGAAGGTAAGACGTGAATAAAAATAAGACGCATGTAAAACAAAATCCTTCCTAACGTTCGAAAAACTAAGCAAAAAACCTCTAAATTAAAAAGAAAAGAAAGAAAATCGATCCAATGTAAAAAAGAACATAAAATCTTAGATCTCTCATATTAAATAAAAAATTAAAATCTTGACCAGTAAGAATACTGGAGTGTCAACTTGAAAAAGACTTTAAATAACATACAAAAGATAAATAAATCAAATATCGTAAGATGCCAGAATACCATCGGATGACGCTTTGTCAGAAAACGGTTTGCATCATCTCACCCATTTTCGCGTGTCGCATAGCGATCATAGTTGCGTACGCCTCTTCGACGACCGTAACCGTCGGAGAAACGGGAGACGGTCGGAGTGTTATCGAATTAGCTTAGCAGTTTGCGTGATGCAAAGTAAAACCGATTTAATAACGCTCGGCTGATCGGATTAATTATGAGCGCGTTATGGTTCCAGACAGCGAGGATGAAGACGTTGCTTTTGACCATTTTCTCGGTGCTGTGCATCCAGACAGCGCTCAGCGTCGATCCTCACGAGCACAGCAAGGTGGTGTGTTATTGGAATAGTACCGCCTATGAGAGACAAGGTGAGTCTCGCTAATTGCGCTTATTACTCGTGCTTTGTCTCGAAATTCGTCAGTGGAGTATTCGCTTCGCGGCGTTTGAGAAAAACACAAATGGTTGTTCGATCGTTCCTCATTATCAGCCGATTGAATCTCCTATTAGAACGCGTGTGCCGGTGTGAGTAGCGAAAGTTAACGTTAAAATGGTCGAAGATAATTTCCGAACTAAAGATAACGGAGGAACTTCATCTCTCGCTTGCGGCTGTTACTTTCCGAAACTTGCGATCTCATTAATCATTTAAGACCCACGCGTCGGACTCACTGGAAATGTTGTAATTTATAAGATCGTCTTAAGGGACGTTGATGGAAATTTTTATCCGATTAAAATTGGCCGTCAAGAAGTACGATTTTATGACGTACATTTTCTGATCTACATAATTATATATATTGGGAGTTTTTAAGATATAAGAATGAGAAAATATTAAAATTGTTTTATTTAAAAAATATTTATTTTCTCTTGTTTATAACATAGTCGTTGAAGAACACCGGGCAAAACTTTCATAAGTAAAATATACTTACATTTCTTCATAAATAACTTTATATAAATATGTGTGTCGACGTTTTTTAGTCTATATGCAATTGCATATATTAGTCTTCAACTAGAAAGACACTATTTCATGAGTTAAGGTGAAGAATATAGCTTCATTTAGAATGGATTGATAATATTATATCGACGGAACCATTACTTTACTAACAGAAATTTTACTAACGAAATTTGGAGAAAGCCCAAAGTTAATGTATATTATTTTGTACACTGGGCAAAATGTTAAACACGTTGAATTCAACATTTACGAATATTATTAAGGATAAATTTCATCCGTGTACAAAGGTCAAATGATAATAACTTTTAACATTGTTTCACGCTCGACTGATAGGTTATTCTCTCTCTCTCTCTCTCTCTTTCCCTCATTCTCTCTCTATTTTTATTTAAAATAATTATGAAATTATTATATTTATATTACTATATTACTTTGATGATTTCACCGCGTTATATGTCTTGTATATTACGGGCGTTTGAAGCTAGTAATATTTTGCCTGCATCGTTGATTTGTATTTACCAGAGAGTGTTTACCGTACTGTGTCTATATGCTGATAAATATTAAGGTCAACTTGAATGGTATCTTAAATGGCAAAGCAAATCTGACATCTGGAAATTTCAAATTACCGAATACGTAATTGAAGAGTCATTATATTTAAACAGCATATTTAAACAATACGAATTCTCGCGTTTCGCGTATTTACGTTTTCTGACGCACAGTTTCAATAGATATAAAATTTCAGTGATTATCGTAATACTTTAAATACGGTAATATAGTATTTCTATAGTTCACTCAAGTTGCGATGTTATTATTATTATTAATATTAAAACTAAGAGGTACTAAAAATTTGTCTTTCCTCTCAAGGTCCAGCGAAGTTCCAGCTAGAGGACGTCAGACCCGCTTTGTCCCTTTGCACTCACCTGGTCTACGGATATGCTCACATCAATCCCGACTTTGAGGTCGTGCCTGGCTCTCCAAACTTAGACACCGGCTCGGGATACTCTTATTATAGATTGGCCACGCAACTGAAGCGTTCGTTCCCTGATCTGAAGATCTACCTGAGCATTGGAGGAAACTCCGATCCTTACGATGAGGAGCACAAGTACCTCGTGTTGGTGAGTGCGTGCTTGGCATAATTAGGATGAGGTTTTCGATGCTTGAATAATAAATAATACTTAAATAAAGATTAATATTTTGCTCACACGGAACAAAAATGAAATAAGAAGAAATTAAAGGAAACGAAAAAATGATAAAGCAACAAACGAACGATTTGAGGGAGAATAATTGAGAATTCTGGGATTGGCGTAGACCGAGACCTCGGAAGGTAGAACGAAATTCATCAACTCCGTGAATCGCCTGCTGAACGACTACGACTTCGACGGTATCGACCTGGCGTGGCAGTTCCCACCTGTCAGGCCCAAGAAGCAACGTAGCGCTATCGGTTCTTTCTGGCACGGTCTCAAGAAGAAGCTGGGTTATGGCAAATTCAAGGACGACAAGGAGCAAGAGCACCGCGACGGTTTTACTATCTTAGTCCGTGACCTCAAGACGCAGCTCAGGCCGCGATTTAAGTCTCTGACCGTCACGGTATTGCCTCACGTGAACGCCAGTGGTTCGTAGATTAATAACGAAATTAATTAAATAACGTTTTAAATTAACAACTCACAACTAATATTAACCCTAATTTGACATTTATGAATTAAATTGGCCCAAGCGAAAAATTAAGATCTTATAATTGTTAAATCTTGAATTATCGCACATATAAACATAGAATTCTTTTCTTAAAGCATACCAATTTTTTTACCTTTTCTGTGCAGAGCACTACATTGTCTGCTCTAATACTTTAAAAATCATTTATTTTTAAAATAATGATTGCGACAAATTTTTCAAATTTATTTTTTCGTACATTCAAAACTATAATATCTATATAATTGGATAAATAGATTTGCAGATATTTAAGTAAAAATGTATCAAAAAAGTTTCTGAGTCGCACAGATTCCAGTGTGCCCAATTAAACTACAGAATATAAATGCAAATGAAGGAGAAAATGTTTAAAATTAGTAATAACTCAAATCGTCTATCTTCGACTTGTAAATGTTGCAAGATACCAATTCGAATTGTCGGGCAATTAAAACGAAATCACAAGCAACAACGACGATTATTTGGTTAATAAATAATTTGTTCGCATCGAAAGCAATCAAATCAAATTGATTGATTCAAAAATTGATCTGAATTTTTGGATTTTGGATCCAACAGTATGTTATTATGTTTCCATCGTATAAAGTTGTAAATTTTCCTCTCATTGACAGTGTACTACGATGCGAGACTGTTGGCGCCCAACATCGAAGCCGTGCATCTCTTCACCTTCGACCAGAAGACACCGGAAATGCACCCGAAAGAAGCCGATTTCCCAGCGCCGATTTACAGCAGTTACGGACGCGTGGCGGAAGATAATATCGATGTTTCGGCGAGGCAAGTCCGATAATTCACACATCAGCATTCGTTATTTCCTCTTGATTTCGCAACTTGTGATTCGCGATATCATTTGCGCCGTTAACAAATTATATTTCGCAATATCTCAAATTGCTACTCGGAAAATGACGAGAAATTTATCGAGAGATATTCGAAGCAAAATTCCAAGATCTGTTTGTATCTTATGCAGATAATTTTCTGGGGTGATATCAGCGCTGGCTATTTGTTAGCCTTTTTCAATTAAGGGGTCTACATATACCTGATCGGCTCGGAAAACGATTAATATTTGAATTCTTCTGCTGACTACATTATTGATTTTATGAGGATGTCTTTTTGAGGGATGATTCCTCATATTTTTATTTATTATATGAAATCAATTACAAAAAGTTAATATGTAACACTGTCATTACTTCCGTGAAGTTCGTCATTAATCGGTATCCGAAATTTTTCAAGAACTATTAAACCGATTTAGCTCTAGTTTTGCATAAATATTCTTAGTAAGATGATTTGATATTTGTCATAACCGATTTTTACAGATATTATAAATATTCAAAATATTAATTTTTGATAAGTTATTAACATTCGAAATCAAAAATTCGATTTTTCGTTAGACATTTCTCCTCTTTTCGCTTATAAAAAGAACTATAATAGATATAAAAAAATCTTAGAACAAAGACTAAATAATCTTATATATTCTTATATATCTTTATATCTGATTTATATATTCTTTTAAACGCAAGAAAGTAACTTTGCACTCTGTCCTCAGATATTGGTTGGAGCACGGTACTCCTGGCAGCAAGATTGTGGTTGGCATCCCGACTTACGCTCGCACGTGGAAACTGACGTCTGACAGCCAGATTTCCGGTGTACCCCCCATCGTGACCGATGGTCCGGGCGCTCCAGGACCTCACACCAATGAACCAGGGGTGCTGTCCTACTCCGAGATGTGCGCCAAGCTGACCGAACATGCGGCAGGTCGGCTCCGACGCGTCAGTGACCCGTCCAAGAAGTACGGTAGCTACGCTTATCAATCGGTCAACAGCGATACTGGCGAGGAAGGGATCTGGGCGGGTTACGAGGACCCGGACACCGCCGGCAATAAAGCCGCATACGTCAAGTCGAAGGGGCTTGGCGGTGTGGCGATCGTGGATCTGTCTTTGGACGATTTCAGGGGTGTCTGCACCGGCGATAAGTACCCGATCATCCGAGGAGCTAAGTACAAGCTGTAGAGCACCAGGTTTAAGGGTGGAGCATGCTCAGATTGTGTGCTCAGAACTGAAGTCGAAGAGCACGCAAAGAGATTTCGTGGAGCTCGCAAATCTACCTTATCAGAGACAAACCACTATTTTTTATTTTTCAAGTAGGATTCGTATTTACACGCATGACATTGTGTTACATCGGCTCGAACGGATGATTTTTTTTAATGAAGTTGAGAGAGAACTTTTAACGAGAGAACTTTCTCGCGGGATTGTAACGCCGGCGAAGTTGGCTACTCGTTACTCGTGATCGTAATAAAAAATATAATGCTGCTTTCCCATTATACGTGGAATTTGTTTTGATTCCCAATTACTATTTAGATAAGGTTACTCGTTGCAAAAATAGACAAATTGACGCGCAAGCCGCCGGCGAGATGGGCGAGAGAAAAGAAGATTCCAGAGTTGTGCCATCGCGAAACAGTTATTTCGAGTACATTTCTGTCAGCTTTATCGTCCCGTCTATTTCTGACTCTGTAATCAGTCGGCGAAGCAGCTTTACGAAACAAAATTTTGTGCGAGATTTCTCTTCGCGTCAGATTCGTTGATTTTTCGCGAGGTAAGGAATTATACATGGAAGGAGAAAGAGACGCAAGAGACGCCGGTCCCGAAAGAGACCATCGGTAAAGGAGCAAGAAGGAACAGGGGAGTTGGCGTAAACGAATGAATCTACACATATGTATATGATATATATATATATATATATATATGTATATATATATATATATATATTTATATAGATAATATATTTTTCGTGCAGTCTATTTTTCCGGCCAAACGATACATTTGCACGGGTGTATAGCAAAGGTTCTCTTATAAATAGACTAGACTCATTAACATATCCAACATTAAGGATTACGTCACACCAGATACGATTAATTCTCGCAGCCATTCTTCAAACGCCAGTCGAATCGAACCTTCTCTCTTATCGGCACAGTGAATTCGAAATAAAGAAAAGAAAAAAGAAAGAAAAAAGAGGAAAAAAAGAAAGAAGGATACACTAAAGGAAAAAAAATTGCTACGTTTAAATAGTTTGTTTTATTTGAATCAAGTAATGTAGCAGCTTTTTTCTTCCAGTGCGCTATATTCAAGTAATACTTAATTCAAATAAGATAAACTACTTCAATACTCTTTGGCAAATATTGATTTGAACGTAGCAATTTTTGTTCTCCGTGTACACTCAATGCACACACAATGACTCGTCGGTGAATCGACGGCCCGATCGAGCGGATCGTCGACGTTTGCACAACGCGCGCTTCGCATCGATCGCCTGCCGATCTCCCGAACTGACGGATGAAACTGCGATCGATAAATCGCTCGCCGCTTTTTCGGACTAGCGTAAAAACGCGCACTCTTACGAAATACTGGGCGTGGTAGAGTTGGAACAGCTTACGTCTCTATGCGCTATAATAGTTAATAATTCGACAGACACATCAACGAAGAAAGGGCACTCCAGTGTGAATACAGTATAACGCAACGCATAACGAAAGGATATTTCTTTATCCGCTGTCTCTAATCTTCCGCCCGGTGTTTAGAACTACGATTATCTCATTTTTCAATTCGCGAATTCGCGCGCGGAGGTCGAGGGCGGTTGTGAGCGGAGTTTTAAAAAAATGTCGATTCGCGACGAAAGTGCCACCGCTTGTGGAATAATCGGAGGGGGGAGGAGGTGGTTTCGACGAAAATTTCGAGATTTGCCAGCGGAGCGACGTCCTTCTCTCCCGACAATTCGCGATGAGCGCGATCGGAATATATATTAGCAGCGTGTGACCTCAACGCGCGCACGGTGAACTCGAGCGAATCAACTTTCCTCCCACGTGACTTTCGTTTGCGGACAGGGGGTTTTCTTGTTTGTTTTACACTATATGCGTGTGGGTGTCTATGACACGACGAAGGGGAGTGCGTCTCAAATCATATCGCGCCACGAATTTACGTCAACGTTACTCACACACTTGTTCGTTACACCTAATACTGGAACGTTTATTCAAATGCTTAGGCTTTATGCTGTTGCGACGCTATATGGCACTTGGATTACGCGTGTACATCCGTTTCTTTGTAGGTACTTGCTGCTTACTCTCCTCTGGACGATTGCCGTTAATGAGACGACTCGGAGAACCGAGCGAACGACGGGGGTACGTTTCACATTCGTACGAAAGTTCCATTTTTCTCGATACATCGTATACATTGTCAATTCGATAAGGCGATAATAACGATGTGACAATCCGAATTCGCCGGCTGTAACTCTAACATGATTGGTGTTATACTGAAAAATGAGTTTGGTTAGATCTATCTGACAAGCCGGGAAAAAATTATTATATATGATTATATAAAATCATATATGAATTTTGCCCATATGTGTGGTTACATATTTGATCGTATACGAAAAAAATAATGCTTCGTCATTTAATTAAATGTCGATATCGTGTGCTGTCAGAAGCACAAGTAGCCGGAAGCATTTATTTCGATTGTATTTGCATATAATTTGTAAACAACAGTATTTTTCCGTTGTGGATATATATGATTATATAAAGTCATATATGGGCAAATTTCATATATGATCTTTTTTCTCCCGGGAATGGACAACTAAACGCGTTTTGGCTGAAGGAAACGAAAGAAACTTACCCATTTCGGGCCCTTCACGTCTAGTAATGCATACTGATCAATAGAGGATCCCTGTTGAAAAATATCAGGTGGGAATCCATACAGGAAATCCGTATGGAATCCCATAGCTATTCCTGGGGATTTGCGCTAAAATCTCAGCTCCTAGGTAGGAATCCATATAGGTTACATGAATTTTCACAAAACATGAGGATTCCTATGTGGATTTCTACACACTATGTAGATTTCTAATATGGATTTTTCTTATCCTGTATGGATTCACACGAGCTTCATTGGATTTTTGTGGGAATCTTCAACAGGGATGACAGACTATTGAAAATCTGATATGTCCTTTGCAAAAAAGGAACTGCTGGAATTGGCAAATCGCTTAAGTTTCCTTATCTGACGATCCTAATAAAACGAAAATATCATTTGCTTTTTTTGCAGGTACTCTAATATCTTGGTCGAAGTTTCTCGCGTATCCTAGATACTATAATAGAGTCATTACATGCGCACAACATACACTACGGTTCTACATCCATTTTTACAAGTACAATAATATCCTTTAATTGCTCATGCTCCTATATCACCAAGTATTTAATTAAAGTATAAACATGATATTGTGTTCGATTCACGTATCTCGATTGAATTCTTGCTTTAATAAGCAGAGGAGATTTTAACACAATATTATAATTGTTAAGATCTTCGATTTCTGTATTATTGCAACTTACCTCAATAAAGTAGCGTCCATCGGCTGTTAGATATTCTCCACGATGAGATTTTGTCCACGATAAGATTGTTTTATCTGAATAATTGCCAAGACTTATTATGTACAAATCTTTCTCTGTTAACAAACGAAAATCTACTATTTCTTAACTATCCCATAAAGTGAATTGTGCAGATCTATGATTGAGATTTTGGTCTTCGATGACTGGAGCTAGTTTATTTAGTTTGTGAAGTCGATTCAACATAAGCTGAGCAATATTATATTATCGGTTTATAGAATATCAGAATGAAACATATTTTGTGAAGAATTACAGCGATTCTGAAGTCTGTCATTGCCTTACTAATCCGAATTTCTCCGACAACGGCATAGCTCACGTCCAGGGAGTCCGTTAGGTCAGTAACATCAGACGATAAGTACTTGAAATTGGTATTTCTTAAAATAGTTTGTTAACTGTTATCACTGTTCATCACGAGGAGGTGCCCTGGACGCCGAGAAATCGAATACAAAAATTCCATTTAGTATATTTCTGCAATGTTCCAAAGAATGTATCTGTGAACGGCGTTGACTTAGAGGATTATATCTATGGAACATTTTGATCTCCTAACAATAATCTTTCATTTTAGCTAAGTCCCGTTACTAAACAAGGGACCTACATAATACAAAATAAGTAAGGTTCTTTGTAGTTCTCATGAGTCAAATTTGGTTCTTATAACTAGAAATTTTGTTTTTTTCAACCGAGACCAGCCAAACTCACTTATCAGCGCACATAAAAGCGAATTGACGAAAAATGATTGAGGAGAAAATGAATTACACGCTACGATTAAAGCTGGATCGGCAATGTGGGAAGAAATTCCATGTTTCGCATTTAAATTACTCGATATTACACTATTTGGATGAGATTGAGCTAATTCTTGCAAATGCGACGTACCTCCCGCATCCGCTCGTCTCTTCGATCACAAACGAGCGAATCGCAAAGCCGCCGTTAATCATTTTCGCGCCCGACAGAATAACAGCCCGTCGGTGTTCTCGATATAAAAAATAATTCGGAGCGGTGCTGTGTCGTAAAACTTGGGAGGAGCTCGCGACTTTGGCGTCCGCGATGATCCCAGGCAGTTTAGTGGAATGAAATTGGTTTTACTTTCTCCCTCCCTCCCTTTTCCTCCCTAATCTTATCTTTCTCCTTTTTATCTTCCACCTATTTTTTCTCGCTATATCTTTTTTCTTCCTAAATTTACGATTTTTGGTTCGTTTTTGCGCGGGTGGTACATACAAACGACTAGCTCCGCGCATCGTACATCTGCACGGACACAAAGTGCATCGGGTGAAACGAAACGTGACGTGGTAATCCGCACACCGAAATGCAATACAATGTTAACAACGAACGAGTCGTCCGTCTCAAGGGTCTCTTCTATATTCTTTATCTATTTTTTTCTCTCTTTTTCTCGTTTTAATTTTCTCAATGGATCGACATTGACCACTTCGTCCTATAAAAGTAAAAACATCCGATCAAAGCAACAAGGAGGATATTATATCTCGGGGGATGTCTAAGTAGCGGATCGGATACGCGGCGGGTAGGTGATTTCTATCACTAAACTGAGAGAACGATCGGAAAGAACGCAACGACGGGGTCGGGGAGAAAACGGTTTCTATCTAAGACGCTAGCGCGCGTTATCGAGGTCGCGGTGGCCGTTGAAGAATAGAGAGCGTGAAGCGCTTCAGGTTTTGCGGTAAGAAATCGCGCTGCAATTATCGCATCGAAACGATTCACTCGCATTCGCATCGTATCGAAAATTGAAACGAACACCCGAACGCATGCGAGTCATTTTTCATTTCCTTTTCTTTATTTTTCCCGCGCGACCATTCGTCCCATTTGTACTTCGTCGCGTTTTCATGCCGCGCGCGTTATCACTACCATCGCAGGCTTCGGATATCGAATAAAATTATTCAGCTCTAAACTGTGGTATATTGGAGTGGCCTTCCCTGTATTAAACTATAGAAATCTGCGGCTACGCCGGAGGAAAGGAAAAATAAACGATTATAGGAACATCTGTCCTTTTTGTGCACACTATTTTCTGAATGATAAACATAACAAATGTGGTAAATTGAGTTTGGGCATTTTTTTAATTTGACAGCTTTATGTTGTTTTATTTATTATTATACTTTATTAAGTTTGTGTGAAATTGCAACATGGTTATATATTTCTATTAAAAAATTTGTCATGTATAATTATATATAATTATCAAATAAAAAATTTAAATTATATATTAAATCTTTAGAGGGAAAAATAAGTTTCTATTTATAGCATCAAAGGAGCACAATAAGTGCACCTTTAATTCTATAAATGGGAATCCAGAGTCTAAATTTTGCTTCTACATTAAGTCTTCAAATGGAGAAAACGGCAATAACATCCCTATTTGCAGCATCAAAGGAACATAATAGAAGATCATTGAATATTTTTATTCATAGTCGGACTTTATATTTAAGATTTCCTTTCTTTCGTAGCTAATGAGATAAGCCAAGAGATGGGCCATTCAGTATCTGAAGATGAATTTAAGAAAACTTTAAATATAAAGTCCAACTATGAATACCATCATATTAATGTAGAACTAAATTAGACTTAAAATAGGATTAAAATTTCGACTCGGGTCTGAGCATCCTTTTCTACGAATTACATCTCCACTGCTTGATGGCTCACTCCAGTATACTATAGAGCTTAATTAATGAAATGCGAAACACGATGTATGCCACGCGCGTGCCACGACGAATGCAACGTATCTCGGCGAACGAGAGCAGTTCGACCGAGAGAAAAAACCGGAAACAAATCCCACGTCTCGATTCTTGCAGCTCCGCTTGGCCGCAAGTAACGCCCGGAAGCGGAGTATTCCAGATACGAACGTATCGGTCCTACATGTTTTTCTTGGTTTTCTGCTTTTTTGTTAGTCTCTAGGGTATCTCTGTTACACGCTGTACTTACTTTACTTTACTTCATTAATTAATTATTACCTCTGCGTATTTCTCTCTCTCTCTCTCTCCCTTCGAATTTCTCCTTCGCCCGCATTTAACTCTACATGACGGAACAACGTTTGATGTTGTACCTATTATCTTGGTCCACATTGTTAATGCTGAGTACCTTGAGGAGCCTCTCGGTGTCCTTGAAGCCATGCCTGTTGCGCTGTTGCTGCTTCATCAGCATCATCGTCGCCGCTGCCGACTTCTTCTTCTTCTTCTTCTTCTTCCTCCTTTTCGTCTGAGGTAGCGTCAGCTCCAGCATCTGCTCGAGCCGCAGACGGATAGGCCAACCGTCCTCGCCGGCGCGTTCCTCCGGGTCCCGGTAAGCGTAGCTCGACGTGTTAGGCTGCTGATCGCGCTCCCGCTGCTCCTGCCACCACCACGGATTCTTGTACGACACTCCGCCCGCTTGGTCCCGCAAGAACTGCTCCTGGTGGCCGGGAACATCGGCCGACTCCTGCGAATGTTCGTCGCCGGCCGCCATCAGCCTCCTGGGCTGCACAAAGGAGTCGTGGACGCGGACTGGCCGGGCCAACGAGGACCTCTTCTTGGCTGGCGTCAGGTGGGCAGACTGATGCCTCGACAGGCTGCTTCTGCCGTTGCGGATCTTCTTCGCCTCGTCGAGCGGGGGCGACGACACGTCCTTGCCGTACAACGCTACGCTCGTGGCGGGCAAACGGCGAGTACCGCGAATTCGACTGATAACGCCGCCGCTGTTCTTGCTGACGCTGTTGTTGTTGTTGCCGCCGCCACCGCTGCTGTTGCCATTAGGATTGCCGAAGTCCGCGTGACGGCATTGCTCGGCGCACTGCAGGCAATCGTAGTACTTCTCGGCGACGTGACGACGCGTCACGAAACGGTCGCGCAGGTCGACGTATCGACGACGCTCGTTCACGAACACGTTGCCTTGATAAGGCTGCTGTCACACCTCCTGCAGGTACTTGAGGGGGCACAGGATCTCCTTGTAGAGCACGTCGCCCTCCTTGCCCGTGTGGTCGGCCGACCGTACGTCCGCGGCGCACCGCACCATCGCTACGCCGTCTACCTCGTCGCCGACTTGGATCACGATCTGCACAGATAAACGCGGTGTGTGAAGCTTCGTCTCTTCTCGCGAGGGGGAACTCGAAAATGAGGAGAAGCAACTGCCGCAGTCAGGCATTATTCGAGTAAATTCTTGTCTAACTGATGATTGATCTAATTGATTTGCACCCTTGCAAAGTTCATTCGTAATTCCTTGTTCCACGTACAATTCGATAACTATAGCGTCCAATAAAATTATTATTATTTTAAAATAAATTTTTACTTATTATTTGCTTTATTCGTTATTTACGTTATTTGTTATTCGAAAACATGTAATTATTCGTTATTCGCATGTTTGTAATTATTCGCATTATTTGTTATTCGTCATTTATTATTTATGTTATTATTATTTGCGCGCGCCTATGTGCGTACGTGCATGTACACCTCGTGTTTCGTTATATTATTTTTACTTAATATATTATGCACTCATTATATTATTATCCCAACAATATATTAAAACAATTTTTAATAAAAAAGTACTTATTATATCTATAAAATAAACAGAGAAAAACAAAACAAATGAGGAATAACAAATAAATTGCTTATATATTCATTTAAATAAATTATTTAAATAAATATCGTTAAATAGATTATTTAAATAAATATCATTATTTGATAAATTCTGAACAAAAGTGTTATAGATTTATTTATTACTTATTATTTCAAATATATATAATATTTGTCCAAGTCTGCCCTCGTAATGTGGCCGCGGGAGTAAGAGATCTCTCCCCCCCCCCTCCCCCTTCCCGCGTTCCTCTACGTGCGCAGAACGTTTGAGGATTTAAAAATAAGAGAGAGGACTTACGTAAATGTTATGGGTTTAGGAAGGGTTTACGTTGGAATTGTACGTGATTGTATTAGGGATTTCAAAGCGACAAATAAAATTCCCCTATAAGCGCACCTGAGTTTACATAGTAAACACAGGTAAAATATTCTCCTATAAGCGGCTAAGAGCGATACGGTTTTTTCTCTTTTGCGACAGAGGAATGAAAACTCGAGTAACAAGATCTTACCTGAGATAGACTTGACGTTGGCGTTGCGTGGAATTTAAAATCGGGATTTAATTACCGTGAGGCATTTCAACGTCGAAGATCGACGAATCGGGAGAGGAAACGGCGTTAAGAGTTCGGCAAGAGAACTGGTCTGTGTGCGCACGGAATAATTAAAAGTTAGTTCCGCAATACCTGATCTCGCAGCAGGGTAGTCTGATCGGCCAGTTGCAGGTTGCGGGTGACTTGAAGGGTCTTCTGACCGGACTCGATTCGCATAACGTACGCGCTCGGGAAGTAACCCGCGCGGCCACCGAGACACTTGCCCTTCCACCAGTCTTTTTCCGATTTATCGATCACCGTAACCTTGTAACCAGCCCTGTAATCACAAATGACGCGTTCTCTGCATCCGTACCGATTAACTATGTATGATTAATTAATTTACACCATACGGTTTTTTGATTAAAACAATATTCAATCAATAAAACTTTTATTTTTCACACATAAACTAAAATGGTGCGTACAATATTTATATTTAATTCAACAGTTTACACTGACTATCGCAACATTTACTTTATGTAAATTAAGTTTGTTGAAACACAGTACAGTAAGATTAGGTTTGAGTAAAACACATATTACATTTTATACGGTAATGAATCGGTTCTAATTAAAAATTTATGATTATAATTATTATTGGTTCTCTTTTTGCAACGTTAGTCGGACTTTCAAAAATTCATCAAAATTTTCGAAGAAAATAATTACGAAAACTTTATTTTTGTAGACAACATGCATTAATCCTTTGTTTCATACGATTGACTCGACACGTGCCTACATGAAGAAATACTGCAGCAAACTAACTTGCTTGACTTGCGATAGCACGCGCGCGCTTCTCTTTCTCCTTTCTTCCTTTAACTCGATAGTCTTGCGAACCACCTTGTATATTTCTTTTTAATACAGATTAATTGAAAACATTATTTCAATCCGCGATATTAATTACATTAAAAAATTCTTACGATTGTATTGTATTTTAATTTATATATATGGGACAAAATTTACCTTTCTATAACTATTATAATAGTTTTAGAATTAAAAAAGTTATTAATTATTAAATTAGCACTAAAAGTTGTTAATATAATTAACAAATAAATACAATAAATATATAATAAATTAAACCATTTTAATAACTTTAATTTAATGCTAATTTAATAATAAATAATGAATAACTTTTCATAGTATTATTTTTTATTTTTAATAAAAACACGTAATACTGGCCGAGTTCTTACTTCAGATCCAGCTCGTCCCGATGCCGTGCTTCGAAGTTGTACAGGACAACGTAGAGGTTATTCGGCGGCAGTACTCGCTTACCAGGCGGATTCAGGTGGTTCTGATTGTTCGCATGCGGCGACGGGCACGGCGATGTGCTTGCCGACGAGTACGACTTCTCGTTCTCGTCCGGTAGCTCCATGCTCGACATCCTGATGGCACTCCTCACGTGCTTATGCATACCGTGGCTCTGACCCGGGCTGCAGGGTGCTGCAAAACGACATTCGCATGCGAGCTCGCGAGCTCGTACAGTCAAAGAACTACTAGGTTGCTACATGTGAAATGGCCGTTTCGTGTGTTTATCGAGCTTCGGGGGGAGATACATCTCAGAGGGAAGAGTTATAAATGTCTTTAAAGTGGGACTCGCTCAAATGTGTTCTCTACGTATTCCTTTGAGAATAAAACAAATGATATTTCGTTTCGATGAAGTGCAGGGGTTCTTCAAAAAGGACGAGGAGGGCGAGAGCCCACTCNGGGGGGGGGGGGGGGGGGAGTGTTACATATATCAAAAACTTCTTTCGCACCTTCGTATCGTTGAAGTTGAATTCTGCGTACTGAAATTTATTATTCTGACGTTAATACGATTCCCTCTAAAGAGAACGTCGATGTTCTATATTACGAGTCGCAATTATACAACGTTACGTCGCTACTTGCCTCCGGCTACACTAAATCGAAATGAAATTCTAATCTTCTGGCGCGCATTTTCGTGAGTGTCATCGTAATCGTGAGAATTAAAGAGAGATATTTTCTTATTATTATTTTCACGAACTAAAGCGCGCGCATATGTGGTAGCTTCGACGTACGAGCGTCACGTCGCTCTTGCGTGGATTAAGAGAACGCTTAATAGACTATCAAAGAGGACTAATTCGCCTTGTGAACCCAAGCCGAAGAGAGCACGGCGCTGAACCGGCCTTTTCGACAATTCGAGAAGCTTCGCAAATCGACCATTTTATATGCACCGACCTAATGCCACGTTAATTTACGGGTCACGCGAGACTCACGGCTACTCACACAGCCTGTTGATACTGCCGCTGTCGGAGTGCCGGGGCGGTGTGGTCTCTCTCTGACCGGCGGCGTAGTAATCGCGCGGACGATGCCGTACGTGCGCGGTACCCTCCGGTGAGTCCAGACTGAGACTCTTCATCCTCAGATTCAGCCGCTCGCGTCTACGTTGCGGACTATGAGGCGCTTGGTTTTCCACAATTATCGATTTAGAATGTTAGCTTTGATTAAGCGAGGCCGCACTTCGACGCTGACGTTGAGCGATTTCGATCGATCGGCGAGAGTTGATCGACTCAATGTGAACATTTGGACTGCTCCGACGCATAGTTTCTTTTATGAATGATTAATAAAGCCAGATTTGCATGTTACTTCAGGTAAAACAACTGTTGTGAGTTTCGAACTGAAGAAATATAGGAGAGAATTTGTCTTGACAAAAATATTGAATCGTTACTGCGCAGTAAAAAATGTTGTGTTAGAAAGGATCCGCTTAGATTTTTGTGTTACTTTAACAAGAGGAATATGTTAAAAAGTACAGAGAGAAAAGTACTAAATTAAAATAGATATTCGAGCAAAAGTCACAATAACGTTAAAATGACGTCAAAATGACGGTAAAATGACTTTCAAATTTTTCATTTTTTTGATCATGACAGAAAATTGATAAAATTATAACTTTGGAATTTATAGATTTCATTCTTTCCAAATAAACTGTTTGTTCGATATATTTAAGTTGCACATGTTAATAATTTTTTATAATCATAAGTCTTTAGTAGCTATGTACAAAATTGTTTATGAAAACAATATTCTATTTATTATAATTACAAATAGTTTTGTTTATATATAGCTAATTAAAATAACAAACTAAAAATACTATAATTCTAAATACAACAACTTAAACTTTTTTGTAATAGTAATTTATTTGTAAAGAAATATGCGTGAGGATAGTATACGTATTTTTAGACTGAGTTCCGATATTCACTACCACTAAAAATCTACATATATGTTATATCACATGAACTATAGATTTTCAATACTGGCAGTAAATACCAGGATTCAGCCTTAGAAGAAATACAAACAGTTCAGTGTGGTGGACATAAGGACGTTCTACAATATCTCCTAAATAAGGAAGTCATTATACAGTCAAATCATAATGCACGAAAAAGACAAATTATCGTTCTATTTAAGATATTAAACAACATCACTTTGATTTTCTATAAATGATTACTTTATGACGCTATCTTGATGTCATCTTGATTTTTATGACTTTCTATTCTGCTTAGATATTTACTGAAATAATCCTTATATATTAACATATTCACCTTGTTAAAGTAACACAAAAATTTGGCTGGATTGTTTGTAACACAAAATATTTTACTGTGCGATATTTTGAGTGGAAGCAAACCGGAAATAAATAATCTCCCGCAAATTAATCGTCATACAGATAATATTAAAATGTCGGTATATATTTAAGCGGTATATATTTAACTGATTCCGATGAAGAAATGTCTGTTAACCTGATCTTTAAGCGAGACATTTAACGTCCGAGATCAAAGGGAAAAAGCGACGGAGTGTGAGTCCAATTAAATTTTCATAATGAACCCAACGTACGGTCGACAATCTCATTTAGTATGTGCTGTATGTACATACAAATGAAATCCCGCGCGAATCGTGACGAGATCGATTTAAAAAAGAGACGGTCGGCCATCAGCGTCGAGTGCGGAAGTGTCAGCTGCACGAGTATAAGCGGAACAATCTATTATTTGCCGGCACATTAATGATTAAGAGTAACCTATATACTGAAATTGATACAAAAAGCTCGCAAGCAGCGTAATTACACCGGGACACGACTCGCACGCGATGTACGCAAGAAAGGGCTGTCAAGACATTCTGCGGTGAGGGGCATTTTTATTTACAATATTTACATACACTTTCGTGTCGGAGAAAACTCGCTGGTGTTCCCGACGACGTGCGTGCGGGGGCATGATAATTCACAAGATAATAATAATTATCCTCTAGATTACACATCGGCTACTTCAAATCTTCTTCTTCTCTCTTATTCCTTAATCGCGTGTCTCAACACTGCGAATTATCGCGTTTCTATGCTAATGAGCGTGATAATAAACAAGACGTTGACAAACGAGTCTGCGCGAAAAGCGCTCAACCGACCAATTTTCCGCGTAGAAATATAAAACAAACGTTTCTGCGAATTTAGGACGCGCGAATATATAAAATTTAAGACCTGCACAAAGGCGATTCGACCGCTTCGACAGACTTACTCTAAATAAGAAATATATTTCACCCCCCTCTCTCTCTCTCTCTCTCTCTCTCTCTCTCTCTCTCTCTCTCTCTCTCTCTCTCTCTCTCTCTCGCTTCGTCCATAAAAATATATTTCGATCGAATTTTACAGTGTACCATATTTCGTACATGAAAGTCTTCTGCCTGTCCTAAGATTATTTTCGAACTTTCTCACTGTGTACTCCGAAAAAAGTAGTAAAAAGAGAGGCAGAAGCCATAGTGCGCCAGAAAATCGAACGAATTTTCCATGTTCGCTGCAATAATAAAGAGACCAGCATGTCTCGAAGAACCGGCGAAATGACCTCGTTTGCTATCACGATGGCGTAAAAACGATAGTGACTGTGTTATTTCGATTTAAATCGATATAGTGGAGTATAAACAGTCCCATGGATTGTATTTGCATACGTTCAACGAACCACGCAGCGCAATTGTTTTGCCTGTCGCTTCCGCGCAACACAAAGCCGATTTCGCGATTTTATATTTGTTGAAATTCGTGTCTCTGCAGTAAGAAGCGTCTTGAAAATAGGCCAATTAAAGAAATAAGATTTTACGCTTTCGTTCAATCTAAACGAAATGAAATGATTATGTGCGCGCGAAATAAATCGAAATTTTCTGTTCTCCGTGACAAAAACGCGGGAATTAAAGGAAACTTAAAAAATATTTTAACATCATTCTGTAGAGAGATAAATAGATTATCCGTTGTTTATAAATTTTGATTTCGTACGTGTTTCGCTTTTGAAATGGACACACATGCACACACGGAGAAAAAGATTTCTTTAGATTTGATAGCATTTTTTAAATTGAAACAATGTTGTCTTTAGGAATGAAACGAACATTCGAATATTTAATTCAACAAACAGAATTGTTTCCCTTCTCAATTAAATCTCTTTTAATAATTACTTATTTTAATCTATTAATTTTTTAAATAAATATCTTTACGTCAAATAACTTACTTGCACGTACTATATTTCTTTGGTATTTTCATCTAAACATTAGAATAATTGTCACAAATAATAAAGTATTTAAAAGAAGCAATACTAGGCTAGAAAAATATTAAACGATTTCTTTTTATTTCACTAAAAGAATATTTAATAAGATAAATTTTTTTTATTGAACCAAATATATATATATATATATTCGACGAAATATATATATATATATATAT